GCGACTGCTACTGAATTCCCAATGATCCGTTTGTCTAGAAGATTTTCTATTGTTCACCGTTTTCGTACTTTGAATTTAGGCTGTGCTTGGCTACCAAATACATATGTAATGATACCAACGATTGAATGGGCGATTTCCTTATTGTTTTCGGCCGATACATTTTCGGATTGTGTTACTGGAAGTCATATTTTTTTCGATCTGGTGAATTTCCGAACCTTAGGCCTTGACTTGGCAGTTAGAGACTCATCAGTCCATAGATCCCAAAGGTCCACATGCAAGTGGCTACATCACATGTACGGCAAGATATCGCCGTTTCAGGTGCTATCGAGGCTATTTTCTCCTCGACGTATTCTTCGAGCAAGTTCGGTCTGTCGTCGGTAAGAAACCCGCGTACAGACGGCAAACTTCTTTTCGAGGACACCCGAAGATTGACAGCAGCTGAACAGTAAACAGCCTAGCTGCTTGAATGAACCGGCTTGTCTTGGAAAATATCACCTGTTTTTTATTTGGGCAAAATCATCAAATTCCTGCTCTCGCCCAGGGTTGGGCCACAGGCAGTGTCAGACTCTTACTGACTAAAAACCGCCGTTTCTTCTCCTGCTTTAGGTCGAGGCCGAGGTGCCGTATTGCGCCTGCCCAGAACCCCAGCTGCCTGTCACGAAACCCCTGGTGGAAAATAACGCTTATGGTTAGAAAACGAGCTAAGTTTTATATATAGTACTTCACCATTCGTAGTTTATGTTTTTTCAAGTTTTCTAACAGACTGACCAAGTTTTCTTCCATTCACATCGTAATTTAATGAGGAAATAACTCTTTCTTTTTCTTTTATTCCACGAGAACTTCGCCAGTACAAACTCAAACGCCCGAACATATACGGATAATATCTGATGAAAACATTTTCTGCCCTTTCGAATACTTTTACCATGGATAAATTGATCACTAGATAAGTCAACGAAGAACTTGATTATATTTTTGAGCTGAAATGTACATAAGTTTGACCTTTGTGCACTGAGAGACGAGCAAGCCATCCACATCCTCCAAATTTTTGTAACCTCACTGCTATCCCCAGTCACTTTGAGTAGGGCAAACCTCCTTTAGAGAGTCACATTTCTACAGATGTGGAATTTTTAAGCGTAAGTAAGCCCCTTCTAGTTAGCAACACATCAGTGATTTATACAAACTCAGAAATGAGGATATGGAAGTGTGTGTGCATTTGCAAAATTAGTATTTTTCCGAGAAGCAAGCTCGCGAGTTCTCTTTGATATTATTTACCTTTCTTACCGGCTACTGAAGCTAGGTTGCTTTATATATTTTTTATAATATGATATTCTAACAACTCGTGTCTTATATCGCGCCCGGTCGTACTTAAGTATGTATATTGTTATTAGCTCACCATTTATTCACTTTTGACGTCACAGAATACCGATGTCACATACCACGTGGTTGTATTTGGCCGTGTGAGTGAGATTAACGGGTCCGATTATTTCCTCCTCCTTTCCATTCAGGTCAAATGCCCTAACAACCTGAAATACTTAACAACTCATAAACTGCCGGCAACGCACTTATCAATGCTTTCGTGTTACGACACCTTTCTTTAATTATCAAATGATTTCTCTTGCCCTGGGTAAACGAAAAGTTAGAAAAAGTTTTTAAATAAGAGTTTAGTTCCAGTTCAGCATTAACTGCTATGTTGTCGCAACGGACAACTGGGACTGGCTGCTGTACAACGTGAGATATTTGTGTGTTCTTTATGTTTCTAAACGATAAAATTCTAGTGTGGTTCAAATTTTTTAATGCCTATACCTACCAAGTATCTACTTAACAATGTCGTGGTGGCCCCGAGGTTAAGATGCCCGCTTCTCATGCACGCGGATGTGGGTTCGAAACCCGGTAAGTATCCACCAATGTTACTTTTTCCGAGTTATATGTACTTCCTATATGATTATCTAGACACCACTGACATACGGTGAAGTTAAACATCGTGAGGAAACCTGGACTTATAATTTCTAATTATAAGTTTGAAATCGCCAACCCGCATTGAGCAAGCGTAGTGATTAATCCTCAAACCTTCTCTTCAATTTGACTTCATTCATTTTATTAAATGTTGTTGAATTATTAATCAACACCTTCGTACAGGGTGTAGAGGCGAGATTTATAAGTAAAAGGATTTAAATTGAACCTTTGATTTAAAAAAGCTGGTTTTTCAATTTTTACATTAGTTTTAAAGTACATTAGTCTCATTAGTTTTGGATTATTGTCGGTTATCTATTAGTCATAAGTACTATGTGTAGATAACAGGAATGACTTAACTGACCCCGCCACTATAACACTGCCATTATGGCGCTGTTTTTATTAAAGTGGTTCATTTGACATTTTCTCAAAATTGCGTACCTCCTTAGTTAAGTTGATGATTTGTACCTAGGTACTTTATCAAGTGAACTGTGTAAAGTAAAACATATTATGTCATGATGCCATTACCTACACTAATATCGACATGTTTTATTATCGTACTAAGTATTCAATACTATTTACAAAAGGGGCCTTCCACTTGAAACATAATAAATTATAAAACATAATTTAATATGGTAAGTAAACATAACAACATTATTCTCTTTAAACCCATTTCCCTGAACATCTTATAACTATTAGATAAACGAGGCTGGCTATGAGACTATCCATAATCCAATCACTAGGGAATAATTAAGAGATTGAATAGCCCTCGCTGTGGGCAGAACCAGGCTGTATATATTCGTGCCTTTGCCAGCTTTCACGTTAATACTGTGACTTTGGCGGGAACACGTGCACTTAGCAAATTGGCGCAAATTTACTAATTTTCTTTCAGATGTTTTGATGAGAGTAATCTAACCTACTATCTTATATATTAGTTTGTGTACGTATACGTATAGGTACTAATAGTAAATAGATATAAACATTTATGAAAGGAATCCACGTTTGAGCGTTTATAATTTCACAAAATACACAAATTTCTACACCACTGTCCTAGCCGTCCAGATTTGGGCATATAGGCGGCCTTAGCTCTCAGCTATAGACGCATAAAATATTGACAGCAGAGCCCAAATCCCGTTGTAGTGGGGAAAAGAAGACTAAAATGAAGATAAATCCGTCTGTCCCTGTCCTAAAAAGTTCGGGAGCTCCAATTTACAGGCAATTTTGCTAAAATTTTTCGGTTACCTGCTTTCAGTGTAACCAGGGAGAGACGTGACCAAAATTCCGACGAGGACGTACAGAGGTTGGTACGACTTTCGTTAGCAGAAAATTGTTGGGTAGATATTTTTTGTTAAATTTCTAATTTGATCTAGGTAATTATTTGGCGGAAAATCTTGACTTAGTTACTGACCGGCGGAAAATGCACTTTTATAGCAGCGGTAAGCTTCTCTTTGAGTAGTGGCTGGAGAGAAGCCATGACGTTATCGCATTTCACCTGTTTCAAGTGCTTACCTAACACGGAAGCTTCGGTAGATACCTGTTTGAGATCCAGCGGGAGGAAACGCCTGGTTGTCGTCATTGTAAGGACCATCCGGAGGATATTTAGGAGCATACTGTAGTGGTGTGCCCTGTTTTAGCTGCGCACCACATTGTCCTCAGGGAAATGATCGGAATGACAAAATCTCGCATCCGGCCTTAATGGAGGCCATGCACTGAACTGAACTGGGAATTTGTCTCCTCTTTCTTAATAGTAGTGATACTCGCAAAGAAGGAGGCGGAGCGCCTGAAGAAACTATCCTGCTGACGCCCCAGCCGCTATAGTTCGCACCCGGCGTCGGGTATCGCGTGACGATCTTGGGCTACCGTAAGCGCGGGTCTCCGGTCGGTAGTAAAGTAGCTCGCCACCCCACCAGAATCGTACGGCGCATAGCATTCCGCGTGTGCCGAAAGAGCCAATCGACCACTACAGAGAGGGCCCAATAGGGCTGATATTCAGCCGGGGTTGCTGTGCAAGCACTATACATATTATATACCGCAGTCTCGGCCTGCAGCAGAAGAAGCGGTGGTTTTTACTTAGTAAGTCTGTTAGAGAAGACATTAATGATTTTCAACCGTCAAAAACACGAATGCTCTAATTAGGTAACGATCCAACACTTCGCACTGCGATACAGAAGAACTGTTATATTATACAATCCTCTAACTGCCGCAAAATTGAATATGGGTGACGGCAAGGTGTTCTCGATATAGTAAGTACTATCAAATAGCAGTGTAAGTTAGTTAACTGACTAAGAAAAGCTCTACTAGTATCAAATGAGGACGGGACTCCTTAAAAATAGCGTGCGCATGAACTTGGCGTAGCCGTAAAAGTTGTGATAAGTATACAAAAACAAAGATTATCAAACGGGAGAGTTGTGCTTTGGCACGTATGGGCCGGTTCGACAGGAATGATAATTTCAAGGCTTCGACGTAAATCTTTTCTTTCGTTTTGAAAATAGGTGCACAACTTATATTAAGTACCTATACCTACCTTTCTTACAAAAAATCGTAGGTACAAAAAGTGGATAAATGCTTAGCCGTTTAAATTAAACTTTAATTCACCTACGAATAGAAATACCATATAACAGTGTTTAACAATTTTTGATATAATAACATAAAGACATAGGTAAACAAACAAACAATATGAGCATCGGCAGTCGGCAACCACAGTGACCAAAGAGTATGTATCTAACCACTACGTTTAACAGTGACAGTTGACAGAAGAAATCACAAACAATGAAAGGTATAACCGTTTCCGAACGAAAGGAAGTCAATGACCTCCACACGTCCAAGCCCATTGTACTGAAATTCTCGACAAACATTATAAAGGCAACCAAAACTGATAAGTTTCTTCTCCCTAGAATCTTGATAAAAACTTAATAAAATCAAAGTAATTGTAAACTTTAAACAACAAATCTTTTTATTACTACGGGTATATAAAAAAAATATGTTTTACAAAACTGTCTTTGCTTCAGTTGGTAAAAAGGCGAGAATTCCGGTACTATAAAAATGTCGAAATCAGTTGAACACAATCACACAACGAAGTTGAAATAAACAAACCGCGTTCAAATGGGCGTTGCCTTACGTTTTGATACCGATATCTCGCCGATTACAAATAGATAAGCCCTTGTATACTTTCGCGACATTGTCCTAAATCGAAACTAGGGCCTCAGAGATAAAAATGTGATTTCTTTATACGCTCCCGTGTTTCGTGAAACTTTGTTTTGCACTAATATTCTTATATAAAATCTTCGTAACGCTGTGAAAAAAATAATAGCTATTGTTTACGGCGAATTAAGTTATAATTATACAAGTTTTAATTCATAAAACTGCTGAGCACTGCAGTTAATTGAAGAAGATTCATACACAAATGTACGATGGTGACTCATCCAGAAAGTTGTGTGTAACTAATTTAATAGCGTGTTCTGTGATGTGAAAATGTATAAAAAGTATTTATTAACGTTGTTTTTATGTGCTAGTGTTGAGAGTCAGTCTAATAAAGACTTGTATAATGGACAAGTGAATAATGAATTTTATAACTCCCGAGAGCAAAGTTCTCGGTCTTCAAGACTGCCTAGTCCAGGAGACACTGACTATAGGACGTATGTGTATAATAACAGAAGATATGGAACTGATCCCACAAGATATAACCCTTACAACCCTAATATAAATCAGCCGGGAGGATTCCCATACAACCCAATCAATACAAACCCTTTGGATGATCAGTTCAAGTATAATATTGTAAGTACAAATGCATCAATTGAAGTTTTATAATGTATATTTCAATCATAACAAACATGTGAACAGGCTAGTCTAGATTACAAAAAGTTAACAAATATTCTCTACTTGATAATTTTGATGACAAAGGTTTGTTTTTAAATATTTTAAGCATACCTGTTCACATGTTTGATGAAAACTTATCTTATAATCCCTACAATTAAAGAAATATAAATGAAATGAAATACTATTTAAAGAAAACAAAATATTTAATATAGTAATTCATAAATTTTCTACTAAGAAGTTTCACAATCAGATTCTTATTGGATGATTCACCTTGATAAGCAGTGACTATTAAAATTAAGGACATTGTTTTGTAAACAATATTAGTCATTGAAATCAAAGGAAGTTAAATGTTAAAGTATGTTTTTGACAATCCCTTCTCAGTTTACTATCTATGTACACTATTATCAAAATAATTTTTAAATCAAGTTTTTAAAAGTTAACTATTTAAGTATATGAATTTTGATTGAAGTCATACAGCTTAACATTTATAGTCATGAAGACGTGACATGTATGCAGAATTACAGCCCAATTGGTTACAAATATACTTCAAAATTTAATTTCAAGATTCCATTTCACAAACATCCATACATAATACCTAGCAAGCATCAAACCCCAAGCGAATGTTGGTGTTCTCATACCTACTGTTTTTCAAATTACCACAATTGAATAGTTAAATAAAATCAAAACTAATTCATTTAAAAAAAAAACTAAAAAAAACATTAGTTATTGTATGTTTGCAAAACTAAAAGTATCCAAAGTATACAATGTTTTACAACAAAAACAAAATAAATTTGACATTTCAGTATACTTACTTAACTTACTTGGTCTTTCTATGGCACTGCCTGCTCAAATTTATAAGAATGTAAGGTAGCCTACCTCTCGGTATCCTTTAAACTCACAAGTATAAAGGTAACTTAAGCTTTATAGAAGTAATGAACAAACAAAAACATATACAATTTTAGAAAAGGAATAATCATTCTTTTAGTAGGTACTTTATTAACTTATGGTCCATTTTTTGTAAGAGCATGACAAATAAATATGTATTTATAACAAGGCACCTGCCAGTGCTTCAAATGAGTGTCCAACAACCTGTGGAACAAACAAAGTGTTGCTATCAATCAAATATCACACTTACTATTCTTACATTTTATTTTAATAAAGACCTTTTCTCGACAATAACAAAAAAAAGAATTGGCAAAATCTGTCCAGCACTTGTTGTTGACTTATGCGCTTACCTACATATACATTCTGCTTTTAATTTTCTTAGTTTTATTAATATAATCTAATACTTCATGTATACTGTAGAACCGGGACCCAAACAACCCTGATGCTTTGTTCCCTGGTGTCCTCGGAGGATGGAGGGAAGATTTACAAGGCAGAGAGAGGAGAGACTCCAGGCAGCTAAAAAGAGACGTCTTTGTCACTACCAATTATGGACAAGTGCAAGGATTTAAGGTTAGTCACTTTTTTAAATTTTTTAACATGTTTTAACAAAGAACAAATAATTTGAAGAAGAAGAATTGTGAATTTTTTTTGGAATTACTTTTGGTATATCGATGTTGGAGACATTTTATTAATTTAGTGAGACCTAACCACATTTTGCTATGCTGACTAAGCAAGAGCTGAGTCAGCTATGTGTGCACTGTGTAGTAAAGATTTTTTAGACTGCATGCATCCACTTTTATTTATAGAATCAACTGCTTGTAGTTTGTTTCATAGTTAGGAGTTACTTCGCACAAGAGTTTAGTTACTATACACTCATTATAAACAAATTATTACTGGACTCTTCAACCAATGTAATTGTGTGTATTAATAATTTCAAATCTATCTTCTCCAACAGGTTTATTTGTACGACAATCCAGACCCAGACTCAGGGTATAGACCCTGGCTGTCACCGGTGGAGAGAATACAGGGAGAAGTGTCAGTTTTCCTAGGGATACCATATGCTAGACCACCAGTTTTGGAAGGAAGGTTCAAGGTAAGGCCCTTATATAATACTAGCTACTAATAACATATATTTATGCGGGTATTAACGCGGCAAATTATTATTTGAATTTGAATTGGGAGCTAGACCATGTTCAGGAGGTACTTAAAAAGAACGGATATAGTGTAGGGGATGGGCGACTATTGCGACCGCTGAAGAGGGCCAGACATCCAAACGTGAGCAGACAACCTGACTTCATGCCGTATATCAAGGGTGTAATAGACAAGGTCTGATCCGTCCTTAAAAAAATTTCGGCCCCGACGATCTACACACCTGAGGCCAAACTTCATGATAAAGTAGGCACGGCGAAGGATGTACTGCCGCTACAAAGCCCAGGTGTATATAAGCACAGCACAGCAGCCCGTTGTTCTCAGGTTTCGAAACCGCACCCTCATGTATTGTTTGAGAAGTGAGCGCCTTAACCTGGCCACCAACTATTTTTTTGTAATGGGCAGACATTTGGCCTCTGTCACGCCTGGTGGTAAACTGTAATGCGACCTTCGATGGAGCATACCTACCCATAAGCAACCTAGAAGCCACCCAAGTTATACCCTTCGGGGAACACAGACTCCGGCAAAGAATTCCACTCCTTAGCGGTTCGTATTGTAAAACTGGAGGCGAATCGCTTCGTGCGTGCATATCAAACTAAAAACAACCATTTTCAGTATTTCTTTACGATTGTCTTACTAGTTCTAATTTGTAGCCACCCCGCACTCATCCTGGATGGCAGCTAATGCAAGCTGTGGACTGGGGTCCAGCCTGCCCCCAACCAGTGCGGTACACCGGCGCCACAAAGGGCATCAGAGATATGGACGAGGACTGTCTCTATTTGAATATATTTTCGCCCAATGTGAGTACAATTTTATTATTAGGGTGTTCCTTACTTAACGTAAATAAAGATTATTATTATTATGAAAGAAGCCTTTTGACTTCTATAGACGGCAAATGAAAAATAGGCTATTCGGTCAGTGACTAGCATAGCCGACCAGAAAACGTCATAATTAAATATATTAATTGGTTTATCGCCTATAGCCGACCATTGCGGTCGAAGGGATAAAAATTATTTGGTTAAACATATTACATTACCAGCCCCATTCTTAGCAATTGCCTCTTTTTAAACTTTTAACTTTATACTAATGTTGTTTATAAGTTTATTTATTATTTAATAATTAATGTACACACAAACAGCACAGAGGACAATACATATACAAAATTACAGTACATGTACAGGTGCTACTTATTCTGTTCTTTGCTAATGAAGTTTAATATATAATTAGGTATAATTTCTTGGATTAAATCATGGTGAGTAATCAGCGCCGTCCATGAACATCCGCAAAACCTTATAGTTACTTGCTAGAAGTGCGTTGCCGGCCTTTTGTGGGTTGTAAGTAATTTAAGGATTGAGGATGAGGAGGAGGATTAAGCCTCTCCTAACCTTACTCACAACGAAAGTGTTGTACCACGCCGGTATTCTGTGAAACGGTGGTACTGGTATCACTCCGATCGAACCGGCTCATTCTCTCATATACTTACTTATCTTTATGTTGAAATAGAAAACATTTATGAAAACGAATACCTACATTCATCATTGGCATGCTACAGTTGTAAAATATAACGCAATTATCTAATTCAATCGTGAATTGAATAAAACAGTAGCTGCTTGAAATGAGGTCGCCATGACAGATACATAATTATGATAGTTATTGCTTAACTAAACACGCTTTTGTCTCTAGCGAATTGTTGCCAATAGGCAAAGCCATCTGATTAATCGTGTTTAGATTTAATTTATTTATATAATAATGTATGATGTATTATTTTGATATTCACTGCTTTGTCATTATTGCTCTTGGACCCGCAACCACGGCTGAACATCGGCCCTATCCTACCTATTAAAATTTGTTAGACTAGCAGAATGTCGGTCCTTATGTCAGCTTGGAGTTGTCATGCTCACTCAAAGGTCACATTGGCGGTGGCACGGTCACTGGATCGCTCGATTCCCTATATTATGGTTGAGTTGGGCGATGCTGGTGTACGTGTCATGCTCGTGAACGGGCGCCGTCAATTGGGACTGGTCAGCTCCGGACTGTCTATTGTCCTTAAGGTTATTTTCTTTTTATGTTTCTCTATATACACGCGTTACACTGTTCTCACATATTCAAACTAACTAAATAATGTATCAAAGAATGTTTATGTGACACTGATTTTAAAAGAGTAACCATGGAGTTTCTTGCTCGTTCTTCTCCATCGGAATCTACACTTTGGAACGAACGAATAGCTTCACTAAGAGGACTGACCGACAGACTGACACTTTGTATCTTTAAAGTTGTGTTGACGTTCAAAAGTGCCTGTATGGGTCTAATTGAAATAAATGATTTTGACTTTGACTTTGACTTTGATTCGGTTCTTAACTAATTGTGTCATTACTGACTCCAATGATTCGGTATTTACATGTTGTATCTACTGTAGATCCTGGCTTACAGAAGTTGTACAGGTATTGTCAAAGTCAAAATCATTTATTTCAATTAGACCCATACAGGCACTTTTGAACGTCAAACAAAATTTTAAAGATATAAAGTGTCAGTCTGTCGGTCAGTCCTCTTAGTTAAGCTATTAGCTTGTTCCAAAGTGTAGATTCCGATGGAGAAGAACGAGCAAGAAACTTAATGGTTACTCTTTTTAAATCAGTGTCACATAAAGATTGGCCATTAATTACGGGCTTGTTCCACTAAAAAAAGCGTATCATTATATTTTTAATGCCAAGCAATAAGCCACCAGACAAAGTAACAATAGACACAAACATTACAATGAATAATTCAGTGTAGCCATTTTGGTTTTAAAGCGCCACGCCATTCCAAAATAATTTTCTATTGTTCTCTATGTAGCTAACATTTTATCACAATATTAAATTGATATTTGTTGCTACTTCAAATAAGAAATTCGATTAATAAAGCATAGTTATGAAGTATTCGTTCTGGAAGCGTATAGAAACATAAAATTGACATACACATCACACACACACATTTTTAGGGTTTTATATCATCCACTAAACTCTCCTCACTCCTGGGCGTTTGAGAGGGATGGTTAGCCTCTTACTGTCTAAAAACCAAAATCCGAGTAGTTCTTTCTTCTGCTCAAAGCTGCGGTTCATCAATGACCTTGAAACCGCAACTTTAGCTATTGACACCGCAGCCGGGGTTGCGAGGTAAGCGCAGTGTGGCACCGCGACCTCGGCCAAAAACAAGAGAAGGAACGGGTTTTAGTCAGTAAGAGTCTAACACTCTCTCTCGCCTTACGTCAGAAGCCCTATGTCAGAATAAGTTGTACCTTCTCAGAAACGATCAGTTGCGCTTTTTAACTTGCTTTAAATATACGAGAAATATGCTCATTGCCTTTTTATTTCCTATCTTTACAATTTGCAGATTGTAATGAACTCCATTCATGTCAATAAATTGCTAAGTAACTCAGATGATTAAAAGAGTAATCTCGTTATATTTGAGGTCATCAAATTTAAAGTATTGAGTATTGAGTATTGAGTCACTAGCTACAAAGTAAATGAAGTGTAATTATGACTTTTTATCTGAAACACCCACGATTAAGGAGATAAATTGAACCTTATGTACCTTGGTGTAAAGATTATGATTTTGTTTAAGATGGTGTATTTTTATTATTTTGTAATTACTTTCTTATATCTCGAAGACAGACCGCGTTTCATTGCGAAAAAACGTTACGAGACTAAAAGCCAGTTTTCTACTGACTGAAGACTGGACAAAAGTATAAAGTAAAAAGTGTCAAACTAGGTAATTAGAAAAAACACAACACAACATTAACCTTTTGTCTGCCGTTATATGAGACATAATAGAAAACACCTATCTTCCTATCTTCCCGCTCCAGCTTATCAAGGGCGCATCAGAGGACGCGTAATTCCTTTAGTATTGCTGTCGTCTATAAACGACACTTACATATCACGTAAAAAAATCAAAACAGCGCACTTCATAATCTACATTACTAACCTAGTCCTAAATCACTACATAGTATATACAAAGTCGCTTTCTCTATCCATATATCTGTATGTACGCTTAAATCTTTAAAACTACGCAACGGATTTTGATGTTGCTTTTCAACAGGTAGAGTAATCGAAGAGGAAGGATTATATGTATAATATCATCCATTAAATAGTGGAGATATTTAGTATTAGCATTGCATCCGTGCGAAGCCGGGGTGGGTCGACTTTGTATATACATAGTCTGGCCATAAATACTGTTACAATTAAAAATAAACAAAATATTTATATATTTTTATATTTTTAAATGTTTTTTATTATTTATTTTTAAGAAATATTTAAAAATGTAATTTATATGTTTATATGCTAAATAAAAAAACAAAATATTACATTTGAATTTGGAATCTGTCATTTTTCATTGTGTTTTCTTATTTTGGCGCCAATAAATTGTTCAATGCACGTTACTTCTATACAATTTACCTACATACAACATGTCCTTATGCAACTGTTTTCATTTCATTCCAAATGCGAAACCCAATGTCCCCGAGGGACAGTATCTCTTCCAATTAGCATGTACTCATTGATGTGGCTAGCTGTCCTGAATTGATTAACTGGCTTATTGCTTCATTAGACGCCTCCATCCTGCTGATTAGGGATGTAAACGAATAGGAATTTGTGACAAAAATGTGACACATCTAGTTGTGATTTGTCTTTGACGGTAAAGTAAATTCTAATGGAATGGAAATTTGAATCGTTTGGGATATCAATTTAACTGGTTTTAAGCTATAATCGCATGAAATAGGGATGTTGATAAATAATCAGACTATTCAAATTATTTTTGAAATATCAAAAAAAAATATATTTTTTTTTGGTATAAAAATACTTAATTGTTATGTAGCTTATTAATATGTGTTACATGTCAAACTATAAACCTTTATACTTTAAGTAGTATACAAAAATGGATTTTCAAAATTGTCGCAGTAAATTTGTCCCTGCCCATAAGATACCTATTAACCTTAAATGTGTGACTGCCAAACAGAGGCCTCTTTTCACACGGAAAAGGGTTTGTGCAAAAATCACCATGCTTGCCCAAGGTGGATTGAATGAATGAATAGAAATTATAAGCCCTGGTTTCCTCACGATGTCCAGGTTCCTTGACCATATTTCAGTTGTGCTTAAATATAATCATAGAAAGTACATCTAACTGGGCAAAAGTCACATTGGTATTTGCTAGAACCCTCACCCTCATACACAAAAAGCGAGCGCTTTAACCCCCTGGCCATCACGACTTCACACGCCCCACCCAGAACCAGACCCGAGCGCACGGCACGTAGCGTTCCGCGCTCGCTTCAAAGAGCTAATAGACCACCACAGACGGGGTCCTATAGAGGTGATGTTCAGCCGGGGTTGCGGGGCAAGCGCAATGACGCACCGCGGCCTTGGCCCAGAGCGGGAGAAGAAGTAAAGAAAGGGAGTTTTTAGTCAGTAAGAGTCTGACACTCTCTCTCACGTTACCCTAGGCGGAATAAGTAATTTACTGATTTTTTCTTGACAAAAAAAAAAACCAGGGCGGAAGAAGCCATATGACGCATTCGGCTCCATTTAAAAAATCGCCTTATTTCTTTATTTCCTTGTCACCAGACTGAAGCCGGAGCCACAGCGCAGCGCTACCCAGTAATGGTGTACATCCACGGCGGACAATACTCGTCCGGGGCATCGAACCTGTTCCCTGCACACATGCTGGCCGCATTCTACAATGTTATCGTCGTGTCTATCAACTATAGACTTGGAGCTTTAGGTGAGAAAATTTAATGATAATAAATATATTCGAACAATATCTTTTGAGATACAGGCTTAAGCTTAGTTCAGACTCAAGACCTCCCACAAATTGTAAAATGTTACCATATTGTTTAATTAATGTCAAATGTGTTTCCTTAAAAAAATAACTTGTAAAGATGAAATAAATCATTAAATAAATCACCAAAAGTAGTAAAAGATCACTAAGATTAGGACCGCATTTTAATGTAGAATTATAATTACTTAGAGTTTTTCTATTATATCCTTATGACATGTTTCTTACTCGTTATTCTCCATCGGACTGGCCCTGGGTTCTGGGCTGACTAAGTTTAACATACGCCTTTCCAAAACCAACAGGCTTCCTCTCAACGGGCGACGAGAACTCGCCAGGTAACTACGGTATCCTCGACCAGGCGATGGCGTTGCGCTGGGTGTACGACAACATTACTCCGTTCAATGGAGACAGGTCCTCTATCACGCTGTTTGGGCCGGGAGCTGGTGCAGCGTCTGCTGGTCTACTGGCCATAGCGCCGCAGACTAGGGATATTGTTACTAGAGTTATTGCGCAGGTAATTTTTTTAACATTGCCTTTCACTCTAATTTCCTCCTTTGTCGTAGGCGCATTTATAAATATCCACATTACACCCTAAACGATTTGTGACAATTTGTGGTTTTCATAAAGAGTTGTTCCGTACTCATGCGTTGCCTGAAAGCTTAGCTCGGATATCGCGCCAACTGTACATTATTTTGTTTTTTTTTTTGTGATAAAGGCGCTTTTGACATAAGGTTTTAAAATTTGGGGTAATTTATTTCAAAAAGATTTATTACAAAGCTTGTCCTAATCTGTATTTCTTAATAAAACAAGCTCAATTGGCCTAGTCCTACTATGTACTCGCAGTTTGCGCAGAAAGAGCACTTATATGAAAATATTGAAAAAAGATCCTTTGTCATTTATTGCTTAAAATCTTAAACAACGTGCGCAAAATACTAAAGCATCTTTTTTTCAATATTTTCGTGTAAGTGATAGATAAATTCTATAATGAAGCTGGTAAATCATTTCTTAAAGTTTTTTTCTTCTATTTTTATTAGAGTGGTTCAGCGCTAGCGGACTGGGCGATGATAGAAGATAAGTTCAGAGTACAGAACACGTCGCTAGTGTTTGGCAGACTGCTCGGCTGTCCCATCGACTCTTCGTGGAAACTCGTCAACTGCCTGCGCCAAGGCAGAAGCTTCTATGAACTGGGAAATGCTGAGTTTCAAGTAAGTTGAATTGGTTTCTTGAAAAAATATTGCACCATATTTTTTTTCTATTCGACACACTAAGATTCCCAACGAAATGCCAAGTTGGTGTTAAATGTTACTAAAGTTTTATATTTTTGACAGTTTCTAAATTCCATCACACACACGTCACCATTAATTTGGAATGTGTACCTAGCTTCACTGACGAATAAACTGACTGACTATTATTCTAATTAATATTCGAATAAATGTTTTTGACTTTGAAAAATATTGGCAAATAAATTTTGTATTTTCTTGCTTATAACTTCCAACAGTATATTCTGACAAAGAAAACATCTCAATATCTACATATTACAAAAAAATCACATGACCATCCAAAATCAACCTTCCAACAAACGCAATAACACCTAAAATTCTTTACAGCCGCACGTAGGCTTCATACCCTGGGGTCCAGTACTTGAGAACAACTTCACATTCCCTGGAGACGAGTGGTACGATGGTTGGAGGGAGAGGGACTGGCATTTCCTCAATACAATGCCCGAGGACCTCATAAAGAGGAGGCAGTTTAACCCGTCACTGCGATACATGACTGGCGTTACTACACAGGAAGCTGCTTATTATTTATGTAAGTATCAACGAAGTTTTTTATCTGTCGCGTTGGTTCTAATTAACGTTTACTGTGTGGGTGAGTCACAAGTGTCAAATAGAAGTGGTCCAGTCGGCAAAATGGCACGGAATAGGTTATACATACGGGTTACCCGCGTAACTGTTCGAAGAAGCAACTCGACTGATTTCGAGGCAACGGGAACCCATAATTGTGAGCAGTTAACTGTAAGATGATCTCTACTCGATGCGGGTTGGCGATTTCAAACTTATAATTAGAAATTATAAGTCCAGGTTTCCTCACGATGTTTACCTTCACCGTATGTCAGTAGTGTCTAAATAATCATAGAAAGTACATATAACTCGGAAAAGTCACATTGGTACTTGCCAGGTTTCGAACCCACACCCTCATGCATGAGAAGCGGGCTCCTTAACCTCCGGGCCACCACGACGCTTGCGTGAAAATGCATAAGTTACGATAAACATGCAGCTTCCACACGTTCGAAAATGGTACTCGAGCATTTTCGAGCCGAGACTGGGACTTATAATCGGAATCTAATAATAAATAATGCTCACTAACCTCGACAATCATTTACGTAACCTTTCTATTTTTTTTTAATCTTCATATTTTCATTCTAAATTCTCCTTACAGATAAGAACGAATCCTTAGCCCCAAAATACGAGATCTCAGAGCGATGGTTCAACGAGAAAGTTTGGGAGTTGGTGCAGCGGTACAATTACACTCTGAACCCGCGCGGCGTGTACGAAGCTATCCGCTACATGTACACCTACCACCCCGAGCCTCATAATGTCAGCGCTATCAGAGATCAGTATATACATGTGAGTTGTTTCTTACTAATGGATTTATTATAATATTTGAGGAACCATTTACCATTACCATTTGCGTATTAATGATAATCCTCTGCATCTTAACGGTCTCAAAGTGTGAAAATACGGCAGTTTCAAACTAGTCAAAAATAAACATAATTTTATTGAAATGTGAAAATAATACCTTTCTATCAATATATTGTAACATGTGACGTTGTGACGACTTTACATTAAATAGTTTAAGAAAGAACATATTTGTGAATTTTTTGAAACACAATCTATATTTAAGTCAGGCAATCAAGTTCTACCTATCTCCAAGCTATCTGCGAATACTAAGATATCTGCGTGACATAATATAGATGACAAACCCCCTCTTAAGGATTTATCTCATAGTTCAGTAGTCTTTAGGTTGACCGTGGTGATCATATCTTAAAATCAAAGTAATGCAATTCTTTCAATTAGGTTTTAATAATTGAAAACTTTTGAAAAAAAAGGTTAAACACTTGAGGCACCGAACCTATCAGTACTTGAAAAATATTAAAGTTCTTAATTACAGTTTGTTTTTATAGTCGTTTTTATTAAAAATGCGTGTCACCTCTGTTCAGCCCTTTGCCAAATGAAATATTCTCGGTGTTTTTTCAACCCAAATTTCTTCCACAGCTCCTATCAGACTTCCTCTACCGCGCGCCAACAGACAAAATGGTAAAACTGCTCCTCGAACAAAACGTTCCAGTCTACATGTATGTTCTAAACACGACTGTGGAAGCCTTCAAGTTTCCAGAATGGAGACAGTATGCCCACGATACTGAACATTACTTTCTGACTGGTGCACCATTCATGGACCAAGAGTTCTTCCCGGTTAAGCAAAGGATTGATAACCAACAATGGACGAACAATGATCGAAATATGAGCCATTTTTTCATGAAGACTTTTTCGGATTTCGCTAGATTCGGGTGAGTATTTTATAGCCTTTACTTTTCAAACCCTTGTAGTGACAAGCCGATATCATCTATGCATCCGAAAAACGTATTGAAGTGGTGAATAGTTGACATGTATTACGTTCTTTATTTTAATCTATCCGATACATAGCGGCGATTGTAACATCGTCACACATAGCTGTTTTTTGTCGAAAATCAATTCTAAAGAAAAACTTTGTAAAAATGATTTAGTAAAGTCAAATTTAATTTCTAAGAGTGGACTGGAGAGTGACTGCACGGTTGGTGCAGTGGCTGGGCAACAGGCTGCCGCGCAACGTGTCGCGGGTTCGATTCCCGCACGGAACAACTCTGTGTGATCCACAGATTGTTGTTCCGGGTCTGGGTCTGATGTGCATGTGCAATTGAATGTTTGTAAACGCACCCACGACACAGGAGAAAATCCTAATGTGGGGCAACGTTTTATTAAAAAAAAAACTACAATAAAACAATTACCTTTCTTTCTCAGCAACCCGACTCGCACCCGAGTTCTAGGCCTTCACTTCGAGGTGGCTCAAGCAGGACAGCTCCGCTACCTGAACCTCAACACGACATACAACTCTACTATACAGCTCAACTACAGACAGACGGAGCTCGCATTCTGGACTATGTATCTACCCACCGTTATAGGACGACTTGTGCCTACCTACCCACCTATTACTGAGGTAATATATTAAATTATTTAACCTATGGCTGAGTTTTCAATGGTAAAGTAATCTGGGGAATTATTACGATCCTGTCACGTTAGAACGTTTGAATAAGACTGTGACAGCAACAATTTCATTCTTCAAATAACATTTATCTATTGAGAAAACAGCCCCTAAAGAAATAACTGTGTGTACTGGTCCGTCTACAAAAACATTATGTAATCAATAATTATTTAATGTATCTGTATATTTTGTGTCGAGTTCTTAATGTGTTTATATAGAATACCAAGTTCCAACAGTATATAGTCTTTGTAAAAAATGACTTTTTCATATGGGCAAACAGACACGACAAATCGAGGTGTTCCGTTTTCTACAATTTAGATACGAAACCTAACAAAAACATAATATTTATTTATTTTCTTTATATATATATCTGCTGTACGTGTGTACGTCATTGAACTACTCCGAAATGGCTTGATCGATTTGAATGTTTTTTTTTTTCTGTATGCGTTCGAGTGGCGCCCTGGATGGTTTAGATTCACAAATCAGCCCGGCAGATGGCGCTGATTGCTTGTAAAAACATGTTAAATTTGATATGTGGGGTTTTCGGGCAGGGTTGGCTAGTTACAATATAAAATGAATATATTATAGTGTATGTATAATATTATAATCTTTGTGGCCAAATCATAATGCAGTTCAAAAAATACAAGTTTAAACAGTACAATTTTTATAGTTTGTCATAAAAATGACTGAAACCTAAACCTAACAAAAACATAATATACTTACTAAGAATACCATTCATATTTATTGCAGTATTGGTGGGAACCAAAGCAGCCGCTGCAGATAGCGTTCTGGTCGGTGTCCAGCGCCTGCCTCGTGCTCATTGTACTGCTCGTCGTATGCTGCATGCTATGGAGAAATGCCAAGAGGTATGTCTCTATACTATTTCACGATAAGTATTGTTTCATTGCTGTTGAGATTGTTTGCTTTGAGTTGGGATTAACGGGACTCGACGAAAAGGGAATATATCTTATTGTTAACAATTATTGACTATAGGGGTGGAGTAGGGCGCGGCATGGTTTTACAAATACAAAATTAGGTAGTTTCCTTGGTCAAAAATAAATTATTGAAATTATACTATGAGTCATTGATTTGATAATATACTTACTTAATTATAGACATTATGACATGATACGTTGCGATTTCGTACAAAGAACATATATTGAATTTGACCATGCCTGACACCTAGACCTGAAAACAATTTGTGGATAATACAAAGGGTTGTTTCGTTGCGGCCATTGAACCGCCGGTATTTTATGCAGCGGCCAGTTGACCAGCCACGTATATCTTTTGATAGTGTTATAATATCAATACTAAACCACATTTTGATTTTGTTTCTTTGCGTCATAAACTAAGACTTTCCATTAAAATAAACCTACGTGCCTTTGTATTTATTGTATTTTCCTTTACAAAAACTAAATTTAAAATAAAAAAGAAATCTAAAAAAAAAACTTTATGTATTTTTATCTCTTATGCCTTCAATATTCGCCTTTCTGTGGATTACTAATGGATATATTGTTCTACATTTGTAATGTACTAACATTATTTGAAATCCTCTTTAACAGGGCTATACCACCAAAATGGAAAATGGTGCCGGCGATGTAGGTGACACTAACATTCGATATAACGCTTCTATAATGCTTTAAAATGGTCATAGACTTGCTTTTATTGTCGGTATATATATGTCTGCTATCAAAGATGTTATAAATAAAAAGGTGTAGATAGGTTATAAGCGCTGAACTTATAATATTAGTAGGCATCATCTGTGCGTTAGTTCCCCTTTTTGAAGATCCAATGTTTATGTAACCTATTTACACCTTTTTACTAATAATATCATTGTTTATTACCAGCTTTAATGAGACGATTCACATTAATTTAGACCCCGTATTTCCACCCTTCATATAAGTACGTGGTAAACTTGTGTGACACATAGTTCATATACATAACATTATATATTCTACATGGTATATACGAGTTTACTCCTTTACGAGTGTACTCCTTCTTAAGGCCAGCATCGCGCCTGCGACTCCTCTAGTGCTGCATGTGTCTATGGGCGGCGCTGATCACTTACCATCAGGTGATCCGTCTGCTAGTTTGCCTTCTATTTCATAAAAAATATGTAGTGGCTGTTCAAACAGTCTTAAACTGCAGTTTAAAAATATTTAAATGTCTAATACCCATATTAGACACTATAGTTTTAACAAATTTTGTCACAAAAATATCAGCCCTGTCGTGGCTTGAAACTACTCGAGTAAGTACGACGGACAGTTTCGTGAATAGGTTCTGTAACTTTATCGATTTTGTATGTACCTCGATAACTGCGAGGAGTTTCTTGCTCGTTCTTCTCCATCGGAATCTACACTTTGGAACGAGCAAATAGCTCCACTAAGAGAACTGACCGACAGACTGACACTATATCTTCAAAATTTTGTTAGACGTTCAAAAGTAAGCCTGTAACTAATTGAAAAAAAATCTATATTTATGATAATAAAAGAAATGTGGATCGTCTCATATACATGCTTTGTCTAGAAAATGGTTTGAGGAATAGGAATGATGACAAAACCAAAAAACGTATTAATACTAGTCGTACGTAGTCAGTTATACATATAAATAAAACATTTTAGACACGTATTATTTTATTTGTATCAGAGAAAAATACTATATTTTTTTATATTACTCTAAATTTTGGAGTTGGAGGTTTCTCAACCTATCGGCAGCGCAGATATGACGAAGCGCAATGCACTCTTAAACTATTATCGCCACTGTCATCGTTGAAATAATGTCCAAAATCAACTGACAACATTTAATTCTGAGCAGCATCGAAGCGACCACATGTCAAAAGTAGGTTAATTGATTTTGGTTATTATTTCAATGAGTACAATTTCCATAATAGTTTGACAGTGAAAATTGCGCTGCGTTGCGCTCCATCAGATCAGTGTCCTGCCTTTTGCCCAGTATAAAATGGAGTAAGTAGTGACTTCACACGATACTTCAAATCAGTATAATTAATAATATCTTCGATGGTATTTTATTCTTATTTTACACTAGCTGCCCGCCCTTACTTCGCACGGTTGTTGAACTATCTCGCTATTGATGAAAGGATCGCTATTTCCCAATATTCGTCTCTACTTTTCTAAATATTCCTTCTCCTTGCAATAACAAACAGAATTGGCGAAATTCGTCCAGGAATTTTTGAGTTACGCGCTTACCATACCATTAATACCATACGCTTGTTGCAATTCATTTTATATTTATACATAGAAGATAAATAACATGTTTAATGTTTCGAAGATTATAGATTAAAAGTTTTAGATTAATAAAAGACGGTCAGAGTCATTATTCCTATACGGTTTATAAAGTTTAGTTAGAATTGGTGGGATTTGGACATTGTTTTACTGTCGTGTGTCTTGTGTTTGTCAAAACTACTGCCTTCTTGGTATGCAATTAGTTGATACGGCTAAGCTTAAATGACTTAATTTATAAAGGTGATCATCACCATATGATTACAGTATTAATTCAATATTATATGCAAATGTACGTAAACCAAGTGGGCAGTATACATAGTTTAGTGTTTTCTTCTAATTTATCGCAAAAGTAGTATTGTGCTTTATAATAATTATTATTATCTGTTTCACAATTTTCAATCTCAAAAAAAAAAATAACCTCATTATAATAAAAATATTACGTCTCTTTATTTTACAGGGAAACTGATCGTTATTACGACGGAGATATATTTATGGTGCCGGAAGTAGAGGAGAGCGGCATAGACAACACGACGCGGTCCAGAGACAATATCTACGAGTATAGAGATGTGCCCATCAAGAAGCCACACACACCACAACCTATTAGTAGAACTGTGAGTATTTGACTACATGCGGCATTCGACTGTATAATGAAGTAGAATGTCCATAAGTTAAGATGCCAATTTTCATTCATGACTATCAATGACTTTTTTTGAGCAACACTAAAAATGTAAAAAAAGGAACAATCATGGCCCGGAGGTTAAGGAACCCGCTTCTCATGCATGAGGGTGTGGGTTCGAAACCTGGCAAGTACCAATGTGACTTTTTCTGAGTTAAATGTACTTTCTATGTTTATTTAGACACCACTGACAAACGGTAAACATCGTGAGGAAACCTGGACTTATAATTTCTAATTATAAGTTTGAAATCGCCAACCCGCATTGAGCAAGCGTGGTGATTAATGCTCAAACCTTCTCCGTGTGAGAAGAGGCCTTTGTTCAGCAGTGGGCACTTATAGGTTGATGATGATGATAGCATTTGTCCACTAAGCGACGATAAGCAACCACTTGGGCCTTAAAGACACTCAAGACCCTACCAATCCCCATGGAACAAAATGATGATCTTTTTATCCTTATTTACAGATAAGTCAACCAGCAACGCTTCAATCATCCCGGCCCCCGTCTGAGGCCTCGACGGGATCGGCTTTATCCCTCAAAGAAGGATCTGTGTCCCGAGTACCGGAACCACTGCCAAGAGCCAGATCCCGAACTCAAATAGTGCATGGAATACCACAGACTACCGTGTAATGTTTTTTTTATCATGTAAGACTTGATTTTAGTCGTAAGTAAGCAATATTTTTTACGAAGTCTTGAACGTAAAGTATACATCAGCGAGATAGCTATTCTTGACGTATTTTATGCGCATTGTAAAAATAGATCAAATTAAATTATCAATTTAATTTTCGAGTATTTTCCATACTTGATAAGCTTTTGGACTGAACTAATTTATTATTTTGAATTATCATATAGGTACCTCAATACACCCATGATGTTAAGAGTTTGGAATGCGAAATTTTATATTTTAAGGGGTACGATCTCTTATATTGTTCCACGGGCCATTTTTAAAAGGCTGACATACATTGAATACTAACAGAATATGCGATATGATACTTGAATTAATTAAGATTAATGTAGAGCAGCTTAAAACTTATGTATTTTTTATAGAAACTTGTAATAGTATATATGGAAATAAAATTCTACAAATAGTTCATTTAGTGAAAATCACGATTTAGTCAGACAAGCGTCGAGCTGACGAATCCCGCTGTAACTTGAACTTAGTAAAGATTTTATCAGTTACTTCACGTAATCTGCAATTTGCAATAAAATTAGTATCTCCCATGATTTACATAAAATTAACCACTAATACTAATATTATATAATCAATGTTTATAATAAAACGCACCGTAATATTTTAAGAAATATGCAACAAAAAAGTATACGCATTAATTTCACGATTTAAAAAAGGATTTTAGCGAAAAGTGTATGCCCCAATATATACGATAGGTATTTAATTTTAAATATTACATAAATATATAATATACTTAATTTTAGTTCATATAAAAAAATGTGACATGCCCAACCACCGCAATGTTCAAGATATTTTGTATAAAGACGTTAAAATAAGTAATGAAGGCAGCTTTAACCTTTTTGTAGAGAGTAAGTGCAGTTTTTTTTAAATAAACTAGTAAGTAAAAAGTATTATTGTACGTAATATTTTTCACACATGTGCCTCCTTAAACTTTTAAGACAGTTATAAATACTGGAGGATAGTATTTAACACATTCAGTGCCCCCGACGCGTATGTGCGTTTCCTCGCACGCACATACGCGTCGGGGGCACTGAATGTGTTAAAAAGAAATTCATTAAAACGACAAAACTTGTTTCTCATTGAAGGAATTTCACGCGGCAAAATTGTGTTGTACCAATTTTTAAAAAGTCATATGTGGTAAGAACAATGAGCAACTGTTAATGGTTACAGTTTCTTAACAATGAACCTTTCAATCGTGATAATTCTAGACACAATAGAAGAATAAATAATAGGTACATTCGAACGCCGGCGTTCGGTAGGGGTTTTATGAAATAGAAGCCATAGTGTATGTAATTTACAACACACCGTTGTATGCAGCTACAATATTACAGACAAATTCAAACATTTGCTATATGTAGATACTAGATTTTGTCCGCGACAACGTTCGCGTGGAATAGTAACATCCTTCAGATTCTTGGTTTCAAAACTATCCTATGTCCTTTCTCGAGTTTCAAGCTATGTCTGTACCAAATTTCACATAAATCAGTCCAGTAGTTTTGGCGTAAAGAAAAGACAGACAGACAGATTAGTTACATTCACATTTATAATATTAGGTTGGATAACCACCATCTGCACCCCATAAGACTATGACCAAGGAGCCTTGAATGACTTATCCCCCCTCCCCCTCCCATAGGCGGAGCGAGAGTGTCAGACACTAACTGATTAAAAATTACCCCGTTCCTTTTCTTGCTCCGAACCAGAGCCGCCATACATTATTACACTTTCAGCCTCAACCCATCACCAAGAAGGTTGCATACAATATACGTAGTTAGAAATCACACTAAAATCAAATTCCATATTTAAATTAGGCACTTAAAGTACATTCTGTCATTTACAACTCTATCAACAAACAAATTAGGTTAAAAATTGTTTCAACGAATATGTTTCGTTAAAATTTTGATCAAATGTCTTTGACCTGGTAAGTTTTATCACCAGTACTTTTTTTTATTTTTACCTAAAAGGTATTTTGTTTTGTTTTACGTATTATGTACCTTATTTTTAGTTAGTTGGAGTCGATATTGCACTGCGTTACGACTGTTTTACAAGTTGTTATGAAATGAGTAGAATCAGTATCGACTTTTTTATTAAAATGTATTTAGTATTAAGTATAATAAATGTTTGTGATCGTTTTGTCCGTCCATCTGTAAACATGTGCAATTTGTCTACTTAGTGCCTTTAGGGATTTTGATACAAATATATTTATTATAATAATTATAGTTATATATTATACAATGAATGTTCTCATGGCACCGAACGAATAATGCTTGCTGTGTTTAGTATGAAATAAAAATTAATTAATAATTAAATATAAGTGTTTTTGTTCGTTATTGGAACTATTTAATATTACACAATATTATACGAATGAGGTCCCAATCACTCCCTAGCTATCAATCCATACCCTATTGAAAAGTTTCGTAGATCAATAAATAATTATTTTAACTGATGAATTATTAAAACATAGTCATACTTTCATTCATAGATTTGATTACCTATATAGTTTTCTAGCAAATTTTTCCCAAATAAGTATGATATTTGACGTAATTTTTTTACATCATATTGTATTGCAAGTTTTAACAAAATTCATAGAAAAGTATAGTTTTTGACATTTCAATAAAAAGTATTGAATTTGACTAGTTGGAAACCGGATATCAAATATCTGACCACCTAAAGGCCGCCAATGCACTTGCAACCGCTCTTGTTTCCCTAGGCGGCATTGATTGCTTACCATCAGGTAATCCCAACTAAAGTGATCTGATGGCACTATGAGGCATGTGCCCTCTTTAGGGTATATATGTATTTTCTGTGGCATGTGTCCTTCGCACCGTGAAATTCAACATAAATAGAAATTATTTTTACAGATTTAATATTCGTAAATAACGCATCCTCGTCCTATGCCCACATCCTTCAGCTTTAATATTACCACAGCTCAGTTCTATATAACCCATATACTTCACAATTTTCAATAAACTAGTGACATTTCTTCTCGCATCTGCAAACCGACGGTAGTTTTCTAGCGGTGTAAGGCGGGGAACACACTGGGCCACATATCTTCCTAGCGTCCCTTCCTCCGCGCGGTATGAGGCGCCCAGGATTCTGCATTAAGTCCACTATGTAGTTAGATCTGAGCAAACCTGCTGGGAAGTTGTGGACTTTCTCGTGGTCTTCTTCCTATTGGAATAACATTGGAGATTAAGGATACTTGTTATGTGTAAAAATAACGCATTCTACATATGCTTCATACGAACGCTTGGGACTAGTCAATTGGTTCAAAGCATAAACGCTATAACAAAGCTTAAAGTATTTTGAGGGTTTAATGAACTTCAAAGAGGAAAACCATTGCGAATAACATGCATATCTAGGCACGAATGGGCCAGCTCGACTCGAGTATCGGAGGCCTAATCCTTCCCTCGTACCATCCCTACCTCCAAATACTAGCAACGCATTTCTAACTGTTCGATAGCGTGGATATCCACGAGCGGCACCGACCTTACCACCTTATCATCTTACCTTACCATCAGTTGATCCGTTTGCTCGTATTATTCTCGTAAGTAAGTAAAAATAGGTACAATCAACTACTAAATGTGTAAACGGTGGTGAGCTAATTTTAAAACTACCTGAAATATGTATTTTAGGTACTTCCAAAAATTACTATACAATATTATAATAATAAAAACTCACAGGATCAATCTCGGGCACGCCGACCTCACACCATGCGTACGCGCTGGATGACCGGTATATTGCGCAGGGTAAGCCGATGCGGTCAGCCAATACTTTGTACAGTAGCGCCCTCTCTAGCGGGCCGCCACATTTTACGTAGCCCAGTCCTATAATTGATGAGGCTAAGTCCGACTGCAAAAAGTTAAATTCTATTCACACTCTCAACGGCAACGCGAGTTGGGTGCGCGACGTCGCCACGAAGCGCACGCTGCTCGTTGATAGAAATCCCGTTCTGACTTGAAACTAGTAGAGCGTTTCTCGGTTTTTTCTAATATTCATTTAAGTCGTTGTTCAATAAATGAAGTATGATAGTTACTATTCAAAAACGTAACTTGCACTCAATAGTTATATAACCGATTCAATTGAGGAATTTTAAAGAATGCAGGACAAACCTACAACCTTCAAACAAACCAATTACGATATTTAAAAGTCGGAGAGCCAGGCTTCGGTGGGCATGGCTCGGCCTCACAGAAAACCAGCCACAGCGTTGTGTTTCGCCGTGTAGCTGAGGTTCCCAGGGGTCTAATTCTTCGTCTCCCCTAAATCTCTCAAACGCTAATCCCCAAAAAGGAAGTAACGCACTTGTAACTCCTCCGTGGTTGCGGGTGTCCATGGGCGGCGCCGATTGCTTGCCATCAGGTAATCCGTGGGCTCGTTTGCATTTCTATCACATAAAAAAAAGTTTTGCTTACCATAAGATCAGCCAAGTGTAAGTCGACGCTGGGCATGGAACAGTCCCTCTCCTGTGTCAGTCCACTCATTTGTTCCCCCACATACTCTGCTAGCAGCTGCGCTCGCTGCTTCAGTGACGATGATACTTCTTCGCACTTCTCCCGGTATCTGATTGAGTAAAATACGTAATAAAAATAAATTGGTTAACCATAAAGAATACGTTAGGTTATATACTTATTTCTATACGTACCCACTTTCTAACCTAGTTATAAAATATTGGCAAATATTGTGACGTAAGATTTTTGAGGGGAAAAATCATTATATGACTTCTCCTAACCTGGGTAGGGCAAGTGAGAGGGCGTCACACTCCTTCCGACCATAAAACCACCCTTTTCCTTCACCTTGCTTAGAACTTAATAGGTACATCAGTGCGCAAGCTTGCACTCGTATGTATCACTGGCTGAATCGTTCACTCTTTCTACTCTTTAGCTATCATAACCAAACCCCCGTTACTAAATATAAGAAGGTATTCAATCTTCATTCAAAAGAGGGCACTTAGCATAGATAGTTAAATATAGGTATAATAAATAAAAATTAAAATAATTTTATACTTAAAAAAATCTTGAGTAGACCTAGGTACGTTTTTGAAAAGTAGGTCGATGAACGGAAATAAATTCAAACTTACCTTACTTCGTAATGAGCATCTTCTATCTCAAAGTAATGCAGTGATCGAGCTCTGGTGGAAAAATAAATAAATATGTACTTGGGTATTAAGAAATTGTCAAAGAAGGTTGGATTCAAAACACTTCCTACCAGCCTATACGAAAGTCATTGGAGAATGAGCAATGGATGTCTTGGGGCTTATAATATAATCACGATTGAAGTAATTTACTTAAAATATCATTGATTACGATGAATTAAATAAGTCAGTATACAGATATCCCTAAGAGGGATCCGTGTATGGCTCACAGTACCATTTGTTATTAAGTTTGATGAAAAAAATATTATTAAAAAAAACGTGGCGTTGGGGGACCGATCCAAACATTTTATTATGTACTATATATTTCTATTTTGTCGGGGGTGTAATTTATTGGTAAGTATGTTATATCATTTTTTCTCGATTAAGTCATCAACATTTCCTTTCAGTGCGCTTTCATTTGAGACCCCACTCGAGTATATTTGCAGACCTTCGGTTACCCTTCTCCACTTACCCCATAACTTCTAAACGGCTCAACCGATTTTTGTCAAACATGTCTAAGAACACTTGCACGTAAGTCACCTTTAATACAAAAAAAAACTAAATTGAAATCGCTTCACCTTTAGGCTCCAGGATGCCACAGACCGACAGACAGACAGACACGTCAAACTTATAACACCCCTCTTTTTGCGTCGGGTGTTAAAAAAAACATTTATCTATGTTGGTCGAATGTTAACTTCTGCCAGAAGGTTCACTCGCATATTAAGATTATCCGGTTCTATATTCAAAATTATCTAGTCCGTTTCACAATTTATTTCTTTCTATTTATTATTTCTAAAATTATCTAGTTTTTCTCCTTATTCCTAAAAAGGTTTAAACACTCACGGGTCACCGAACCACAGCCGTAGTTTGAGTAGATACTCGCGTAAGTCAGCATCATCAGGGACAGAAGCGAATCGCATCCTCCCGGAACTCGCCGACAGTTTTGGTTCTGATAGGCGCGCTGCATACAAAAAAAAAACTTAGTTACATTGAAAATAACGACTTGCTTTGACATGGTTCTGTAGAACTAAGCTCAGTACACATTTTGTTGTAATCGCACACAGACTGAGATCTGGACACATTCCGCTTAGTAAATATAACTATTTAATAAAAAAACATAACTCGCCTAACTGTGACGTGTGTGGAGTTATAGAGGTGTTGTTCATCTGTTAGCAGAATGTGACAGATTTCAGTCTGTTAGAGAAAATTTTTATGCTAAGCACCAGTTAAATAAATTTTATGTAGGTTTTTTTAATGGCGTGAAGCAACCACTACGATAGGTTTCGCCTTGTTTGAGGTTACCGGAGTACCAATCCTTAGCATCCCCCATTCCTTAAATCATCAAACGCCCAAAAAGGTCCACAACGCATCTGGAACTCTTCCGTCGTCCCATGGGTGGCGCTGATTGCTTACGCTGAGTGCTTACTAATTTTTTTTTCTCTTTATTTTTTGGGACTTTTATACCAAGTACATGCCACTCCCATCGTACCTTGTAATCTACTTAAACCTATTAAATTGACTAAAAACGTAATTTAACTATTCTAAATAAATCAAGGGTGGTTATAGAATTAGGTTTTGACAATACAATATTAAAAATACCTACATCAAATTTATTTAACTGGTGCTTAGCATAAAAATTTTCTCTAACAGACTGAAATCTGTCACATTCTGCCAACAGATGAACAACATCCTCTATAACTCCACACACGTCACTTTACTTACGAGTGCTCCTGACATCTGTTCCTGATCCCGGATCGTGGGGTGGTTGCTGGAAGAGGCAGATGAACACGGGGTTGCGTGGTCGGCCAGTCTGCGACATCACAGCCTTTATGCTGGGGAAACGGTCGCCGAGACGTTTGGCGCAGTAGAAACCCTCCTAGAATTAGATAGCTTGGTGAATCATCATTGATTAAATATTGAGGGCCCTAAGAGTTCCATACCTACAAACTTTCAAGTCAGAAATCCTAAAAAGGACTAAAAAATTAAGTACATTTTGGTTATATCCTTTGGGAAATGGTTTTGGTCCTTTGGGAAATTTTATGTTTCTGTAAACTCTATTTCGAAAAATACTTATTAAGTTTTTAGGCCGTGATATATTGCGTACGGGTATCTATAAAGTTTTATTGAAGTCAGGTTCAGTATCATCACTTAATAGGAAAGAAATTATGGATAACTTGTTAGTAGAACTCATATTACTGTAGCTGCTATTTCATCATCATCGGCCTACAAATGCCCACTCCTGAGCAAAGGCCCCTTCTCACACGACGAAGGTTTGACCATTAATCACCGCGCTTGCTCAAAGCGGATTAGCGGTTTCAAACTTATACATTAGAAATTATAAGTTCAGGTTTCCAAGATGTTATCATACATTTTATGTCAGTGGTGTCTAAATAATCATACAAACTACATATAACTCGGAAAAAGTCACATTGGTACTTGCCAGGTTCGAACCTTACGCATGAGAAGCGGGCGGGTCACCACGACGTTAAGCTGATGTTTATCTATATGATAAATGTAGACACCTATTTAAGTGAATAACCACCTGAGTAAAATCATTGATGTCGAGCCGGCCAGTGTACGCCAGCTTGGCGGACGGATGGTGTCGGAAGATGGCCTCTAAAGCTGGCTCCCATGCACTCACCACGTATCTTGCTTGTCTGTTCTCCACCATGCTGAACAACAGACGGGTAAATTTTATTTTTCAATAGTAACTATCGTGATTAGGTACTTTCTGATAGGATTTAACTGAGAAAAGCTCTACTTAGCGTGTTACTATTAACGTTAAAAGTACCAGCTAGTAATTTGTTAAAAGTACTGGCTGGAAACGAACAGCTAGATCACCCACTGGTAACTGACCACTGCGATATTCTTATTCAGAAGCGTTGTAGGGCCTTGTAGTTTGGGAATGTATCGTGCACTAACTAGTGTATAGTCCCCAGGTCCAGGTAGATGTCGGCTCCTTCGTTGCTGACGCTGGCAATAATGAAAGCACACAACGCCGTGCTCAGCCCAATATGTTCTATGCGGAGATTCTTTGATATCACCTGCAGAAAATTTATGAATTCGACATTGTGTTGTTCCGGATTCCTTCGGTAACTTTATTAGAACTTTTTGCATAAGAACTAACATAATCATGTACAAAAAAATAGTATTTTCACTAAATAAATATTTTCAAGATCTTCTACACAGTAGGTATTTTTAGGCATTGGCCAAGAGAAATTTTAATTTGTATTATGGGCAAAGAAACTAAATTCACATAATTGCATGTTCAAATAGTAAATAGTTCCCTAATTTACCTAGGTCACAACTTTGTGGCTAGTATTATTTGTTATTGTTAAGTCCCTATCAATGTTCCTGCCAAAACAGATGAAACCCACTTTTGGCGTTTTACAAGGATCATTATCAAGGATACCAGAGCACGCGGTAGATCTTCATTTTGATTAACTGGCCAAATAAAGGCAGCGACAAACTGCCCCGTCCATAAGTGTATGGGAAACACTGCAGTCCGACAAGGATGGCGTTATGTATTAAAACACGTCACGCAAACTATTCTTGACGATCAACAACGACCGAGTGGTCATTCAACGAGACAGTGTTACATCACATCAAATCATCAGCCTATAAGTGCCCACTGCTAAACAAAGGGATCTTTTCCCACGGAAAAGGTTCGAGCATTAATCCCAAAGTTTGCTCAAGGCGTTAGAAGTCCAGCTGGTTTCCTCACAATCTCTTCCTTCACCGAAACGAAATAGTGTGTGTGATTTAGAAGAAAATAATTTATTCTAAATTCATTTTACTCACATCCTCGCCTTTCTTCAAGGTGAACAGATCTCTAGCTACTTCCTCAGTCATCAGGCCAGTCAGCACAGTGCACGTTAGAATCTTCAAACTGATATCTGGACGCTAAGAAAAAATTCTTTTAAAAAACGAATAGGCATCGATTGGTGCTATAAAGAATTTCGAAAATAAACTTTCAGACACTTGTAATAAAGTGAGTTTTTACCTGCAAAATGGCTAGGAGTTCAGCTATAAAGTCTCCATTGATCATCGCCTTCTTACTGACGTGGTAGATCTCCAGATTGATGTAGCATTGCACGGCCAGCGTCTGAGCTTCGATGGGAGTCTGAGCGACTGGTAAACAAAAAATCAAATCGCTAGAACACAATATATTTTTGTCAATAGCCCCTAATTGTATTACACATAAGGTATAATTTAAATAAACTCACATCGTCTATTGACATTTCTAATTGCGTTAAAAGACTTCGGTTCGATGACGGTGAAGGCAGCCTTGGGTATAACTCGACACAGTTCTACTATGGCCTTCAAAGCGTTCAGCCTGATGTAGAACCAGACCGCTGATTCATCGGCCAAGATAGCTGAAGTAGAACAATGCTTTTAGTCAAGAAGACGTCCGTTTATAAACCACAGTGTTTATAAACCACAGTGCCAAAAGTCATAAACCTAGAACTGCGACAATTCAAAAAAAATGTTGTTCAAAACGCGGCTGCCGTCCAGGCGCTGCATTCAAATTACAATTTTCGAAACGTACCACACAAGGCATCAATAATATTGGTATTATCACACATCCGCACAGCGGATGCTAGAAGCTGCGTCATGTTGGCCACGCCCATGGCCGCGTCAGCCAACAACTCTACGCTGGAACTCAGCAGCTGGTGACAGAACACCATGTCCGTCTCCGTGTTGAAGAGTGCCTGCAAATAAATCGCAATACTACATTAACATCCTGAATTAGGTCAATGAATGACTAAGGGCAAAAGCTATGGCTGCCAGGGCTTGCCATAATCCAAGACTTGCAGGCTGGTTGCTAATAGCAATTTCTGGCCCGGTCTCTGTTAAATGTGTAGATTTCAGGCTAAGTCGCCGCGCATTGAGCATCCGTCGTATGTATATTGTTTCAAGTGTTTGTGCGACTGGGCACAAATCGCAACGCGCTCTACGCTTGTGCCTAAACGTGGTCTTACGCCCGATTTCTGAAAGGCTTGTCAACGCTAAAATTAACTAATCTCCTGTTAAATCTCAACAATTGAATTATCAACAACCAATCAGATGACTTGACAAGAGATTAAATTGATTTTTACATTGATCGGCCTTTCGGAAACCGGGTGTTAGTCTTATGATTTGAGTTAAGCTAACCGAAAAATCAACAAATAAGTATCAGTCATCTTTCTCCGCCTCAAAAATTCGACCAAATTCGATCAGATTCAACCAAAGAAATCGGCAACAAGTGCAGTTAACTTACATCTTAACACTTAAAAGACCGCGTACCTCTCTTCCATTAGCAGTGTAGGACATTTTAGTGAGAACAGCCAAGCAATATGGCTTCATAGCCGGCAGTGCCATCTCCAGGTACGCGAGCAGCCGTAGAATACACCCTGACTGGTAAAGGTGTGATGCGTTCTCCTCAGTCTCCACGTAGTTGCGGAGTACGCCCAACACTAAAGCGTGGACGTCACGGAATTCGTAGGACTAAGAAACATAAATACAGGATTGCCAATTTAAAAGGTTTACATATTATCGTTTTTAAATCAATCATATTCTAGCAAAATTATAATGTAAAAATAAATTTATCAAATAAGGTCTATACCTGTACGGCCTGATGTCCCTATTCCCCTATGGCGAATAAATCCTATACTTTTCGTTTCGCCAGTTAAGTATTTTATGGGCCCAGCCCAGATAATAGCGGGTGATGATTGACTATCTGATGACTAACGACTGATCTGAGAATCTCGATTCCGATTGATGATAAGGTCGTATTATTATTCAGAAAATAAAGGCAAAAAAAAAACTAAAATAAAATCAGCTATTCAGGGTTTAACGTTAATCCAATCTACTTACTTCCAATATATCACAGAGGTCCAAAACACCAGTAGAAGTTCGAAACGTCTTCTGTACAACCTGGTCCTTGTACCTACAAATCAGTTGGTCCACGGTCCTTAGAGCCGCATGCTGGATTGCGAGGAACTTGCTTTGCATCAGAGCTAGCAGTGATGGCCAGCTGAACTGCGTATTCTTCGTCACTTCGGCAGCGCATATCGGGTCTTCTAGGAGGTTGCTTAGTGTCTAGTGACAATTAAGTATCTATATGTCACCGGAAAATAACAAGAACCGTAAGTTTATCAATTTACTAGGAAGTTTATAAACTTTCGTAAGATTCTAAACGGGAGATAAATTGTATTATTTTACGTCCACATTTTCGTAAATTTATCAATTTCCAACGTCATACGGTAAATTTATAAACTAACGAATATCTATTCGTAAGATTTTATATGGTTCCAATCACAGAAACTCTTTTAAATATACGACCTTTGAAATACGTAAAATAACACACTGCTCTCTGATTGGTCAATGTTCATAGTGGCAATGCTTGTGTCGATAGACTTTGGAATAATCAGACTTGACAAACTATAAATTGGAAGCAGCAATGCCTGGTAACTCTCTGGCTCGGATGTAGTGAGTTGAATTTTCTATTATCAATTTCAATAAGCTATTTAGCAGTTACTTGCTAAAATACAGTTCCGTGGCCAGCAATGGCGGCCGCGAGGAAGAAGTGACACGTGACAGCGAACCAATCAGATCGCGCGTAGCGTTTGCTTAATGCTTACTTATTATTTTACGAGTGAGTTCAGTAAGTTTATCAATTTACGAAAATGTGGACGTAAAATATTACAATTTATCTCCCGTTTAGAATCTTACGAAAGTTTATAAACTTCCTAGTAAATTGATAAGCTTACGGATTTTGTTATTTTCCGGTAACATATACATTCAATGAAGAAGACTAATGTCCTCCTCTCTCCCATATTAAGCATATTTCGGAACCGCGATTAAGTATTTTTAAACTTATAAATTTTCGTCTAAACTTCTGCGCGAAATTTATCACTTAAAATTATTTTCTCTCGATGGCACATTTTAATAATTAACTGTGGATGTATCATATACAACAACAATAGTCAAGATAATGTGATGTGATAGTAAGTTGCGTGAACATTATTGAGTTTAGATTTAAAAGTAAGTTACTGGGTATGCAAGTTTTATGCTCACCTGAAGACAATTTTTCTGAACATCTGGGTCCAGACTGTTCTTCATTCTGGCAAACAAAGTGCTGAGAATATTAGCAGACAGGAGTTGTTCACAGCCAAGAGGTTCCGTAGTAAGCTCTGCTAACACTAAGGACGCAAACTCTAAAACGAAGACGTCTTCAAACTGTTGGGAAGTTATGGGTAACGTCAAAAAAATTTTGTAACTATAAAAGGATAGAAGGATCTAGCTTTTAAGAAGAAGAGAGGTGATAAATCTCAGCATAGAGACTTTGTACCTACACGAATTTTTATGACAATGTGCTTTAGGTTCCTACTTGTTTTTTTTTTGTGAAAAGCAGTCGAACGAACAGACGTCATGGTAAAAGTTAAATCATCTATTCATATCAATATCAATTTACCCAATCTACGGTAGCTTGATAATATGCACCAAGCCGTGTTGGATAATCCTATTAAGTACTAATATCCTATCCACTTCCTAGGACTTTAGTAGGAAGTTTTTGAGAATGTTTGGATTTAGAATAATAACTATGTATGTATGTTTGTTATTCTTCCGCGCAAAAACGATTGGACCGTTCTGGTTAAAACTTGGTATGTAGATCACGTATCTACCCTGGATTAACACGTATCTTGGTTGATTTTTATCTACATTCCATTCGGACAAAGTAACGGGCTAAAACTAGTACCAATAAACTATACTTAGTATCTACTGGTTATGGTACCTACTTACCTTTACGAGCAAGGAAGCAATTTTCCTCAAGTTTTGTGGGTCCTTCAACACTTGCTCTGGTCCTCGTGGTAACTGACAGAGTTGTGCCAGGGCTTTCAAAGCAAACCTTCGGATGTTCAACTCCAAATGTTCCACATGAGGTAGAATGTGTGATATCGCGTCCAAATCGAACAGGATTTCGCGATTCGACATCTCTTGCGCCGAGAACTTTGTTATCGCTCGGAGAGTCTATTTAAAGAAGATGATGATGAGATGCTTTATATTTTTATTTATCAGGTATAATGATGTAATAAAGTCCTTCTCCTATTGTCTGTTAGTCCGGCGGGCATCGCACAGCCGACACAAAATATATATTTCTTTTTTGCTAGCCCTGGAGTGGTCAGCAAACATATTATGGCCCACTATTGTGACCGATATCATGAAGTGTCTCCTCGTGGTCTTTCTTAAATAAATCAGAGGTGTATCTATGCGCGGGGTATGAGAATAAAACATTTTCCCCTTTAATACGCTTTTATTTAATAACACGTCCTACTCTGGAATAGAAGGTGTGCTTGTGTTGTCCTATATATTTTCGATAACCAACAAGCGTTTAAAATTACTTTTATTGTACCATTGTTACCTACTGTTATTATTGTCCCATTATGGGCTTCCATGTTCAGCAGTTGAGACTTTCCGTCTGACTATGATTGTTTACCTCTAAGAAGAATGAAAGTGTCACGTTTACCTGGCATATTATTTCAGGTTCTACAGCATCTAGCAACAATATCGATGTGTGTGCACTTTCCGGAGATATAGTAAAAGGGTGGAAAACCACATCTTTCTTCTCCGCCGATCTGTTTTCTCGTTCTTTTTGCAAGGGTTTCGCCATTTTGTAGAATGATTACAAATAAATAGTAAATGATTTTTGGTTAGTCGTTAATGTTTATATTTAGTTGATAATATAAACATTTATAGGTACAATTTTATTGTGAAGATCTTGAGTTATCAAAGACTATAGATTTGACAGGCAGTAGAATGCGAAACGTTTTATAAAGCAACCTTCATGGTGATATACTAAAGTAGTACCTATAACGAGTATGTGGATTGAGGTGAGTTAGATGTAGATAGAAACACTTAGATATTATTAGGTATTGATTATTAAGCTAACAGTACTAGTTGTTTTCATAACAAGAGCCAATACAACCACTTTGCAATATAAAACAAAGGACTTTTTATACCTAACTCTTTTTTCAAATCCTAACGGAACTGGCCACTCGCGACTTGGTAACCACCATACATATCCAATAAAATCATAGCAACTGTCAATTCAACTGCAACTGTCATTCTGTCAGTGTATTTTTAGGTTTATTTTATCTTTATGAATAGGAAAAATATATTTGTACGTCTTATACGTGTTTTGGCTAGGAAGTTTAGGGTGCTGCAAGAAGTATGGATCTTACCGTGGTGGGGCAGTGGGGGGTTGGCTGCTGTGCCTCTCTGGACCTTAGATACTTTGGTACTGCTTCTCAAACTGTGCTCTACCTGTACGCTGGCAGCTGCAAGGGTGTTAATCCCGCCAACTATGAAAAGCTTACATGGAGAAACTGTTTTAGTTAGTATTGTTTACATTTATTTCTTGATAGACAGTGATTATAAGTGATCTTGCTGCTTTGCAATTTACTTTCTGCCTACCTAATTACAGTAGGTAATTGTATGATACATTCTTTGCTTTAGCCTAAAGCACTTTTGTTTGAAAAGACTGGTATTTCATAAATTTGCTGTCGCACAGGTTACGGGAGCAGGTCATGGCATCGGAAGGGAGTTGGCCATTCAGTTCGCAGAGTTGGGCGCCACCGTCATATGTTGGGACAGCGATGCTCGGAGAAATAATGCTGTCGTCGATGAAATAAGATTAAAAGATGGAGAGGTACTGCTTAATATCAACCTTATTAGTGTCTTTTGAATAAACCTTAGGGTTTATTTGTTCTTCTTTCCCTATGTATTAACGCTGTGTTTCTTTGCCAGAGTGAGGTTACTGAAGGCCCTATCTTTCCCCCCATTCTCTCTAAATCCCGAATAACCCACGAGAGGCCGGCAATGCACTTGTAGTAGCTCTTTTGGTATTGTCTGTGTTCATAGGTGGCGTCGATTACTTTTCTTTAGATAATCCGTCTGCTCGACTTTTCATCTTTTCGTCTGCTTTGCGAAAAAATGTAGAACCGTTTTTTACAAAATATACAGTCCAGAGGTTTTGCTAAGTATTATAACAAGTCTGATTTATTTCTCAGTGTTACGGCTACACAATAGACGTGACAGCTCGTGAACAAGTAGCAGCCGTAGCACTGCGCATGCGACGGCAGCTGACCGACGTGTCGATGGTGGTGAGCAACGCGGGGCTCCTGACCTGCGCACCCATCAGTCATCTGCGACAAGACGCCATTATGAAGCTCATCGAGACCAACCTGCTTTCACATTTTTGGGTAAACTGAAAGATTATTTACCTACCATAGTCGTACGAGTAGTTACTTTTCGTACTCCTGAAGTACGGAAAGTAATAACTTTCTCTGATTAGTCAAAGGAAGGAAGCGGAGCACGTGAGGGAGCTATCCTCCTCCTCACGCTTCAGCCGCCGTAGTACACACTCCCGCCTTTGAAGATCGAGGATCGCGGACCGTTAGCGCGGATTTGCAGACGGCGAGTAAGGGTAGCTTGCCACTCGCCCAGAACCAGACCCGAGCGTACAGCGCGTGCCAAAAAAGCGCAAAAGAGCTAATATACCCTACTGAATACTGGTGCCGACGTTTAGCTAGGGTTGTGGAGTAAGCGCAATGAGGCACCGCGGCCTCAGCCTGGCGCAGGAGAAGGAACAGGGTCAGCAAAAGTCTGACAGTTCCTCTCACCTCACCCTTGCTTGCATGATTTTCGACTAACAAGAAAAAGGTAGGTAAGTATTTATTTTATACGAAGTTCTATCTACATGTTCTTATAATCATCAAGTATTTGGTTTCCAGGTCATTCAAGCATTCCTGCCCAATATGATAGAGCGGCGGCATGGGCATATAATCGCGATAAACTCCAGCGCAGGCCTAATGCCTTGTGCCGATATGATTCCGTACTGCGCAGCGAAATTTGGACTAAAAGGTTTGAAAACAGTGGTAGCCATTCACCCTTCTAGTACCTTATCTGCCATTTCAGTAAACCATTCTATATGACGGATGCAAGAATGTTTCTGATTACACAGTTGACGCTGTGGCTGGGCAACTAGCTACCGTGCAACGTGCCGCGGTCTCGATATCCGCACGGAACAACTCTATGTGATCCACAAATTGTTGTTCTGGAAACGGTATTTGAAAACGCAACTACGGGCGGCGCAGGAAAATATAAGGGATTACACTTTTTTTTATGATTAAAAATATTTAACTGGAGATTAGGTTATTTTTGGAAAAAACACAACAAAGTCGTTGAAATGTGTATTGTAAGTCTCTTAAAAGCCTTGATTTTTATCACCCAGGACTAATGGACTCAATAACAGAAGAGCTGAGGTTGGACATGTGGACTAAGAACATCAACACCACATCAGTTTACCTGGCAACAGTTGCCACCGGCATGTACCCACAGCCTTCGCATCGCTTCACCGCGTGGTACTCCGAAGTCACGGCGAAACAAGCAGCTAAGACTATTATTGAAGGTATATTTCGCTGTTTTGTGGGTCTTTGTAGTGTTTTTCGTTATTTCTAACCACTTGGAATAATCAATAAGCAATCAGCGCCGCCCATGGACATCTGTAAAACCAGAGGAGTTGCAAATTATGGGGATAAGGGGTTTTGGGGATTCAAAGCTTGGAGTAAGATGGGGGGGAGGGGAGGATCGGGTTTCCAGTACTCTCACTCTCACGGCGAAACACAACGCTGTGGTGGTTTCGAGACGGCCCATTCATGCAGAAGTCTTTATTCCCAGTGGAAGTAATGAAGAAAGAGATCAACAGACTGATAATTCAGCAATTTTTGAGATAGGTTTTTTTTTTTTGGTGTCTTTAAATTAAGCCAATATTTTCCACTTTTCAGGAGTCCGCAAGAACTACAGAATTATCAGCATACCTTCATTCATGAAGTTCCTTATAGATTTAAACAACCTAATGCCGTTCAGAATAAGAGTTATTTTTACTGATTTCTTTAACTTCCGTCACAGAGGATGGTTTTGTTTTTGCTAAGAGAATCGGCTATCTTATAAGCCTAAATATCCAGATATAAGCGAGTGGAGAATTATTTCAAGAGCTGGAGTGCTCATGAGATTTCTAGAATGAAATGTTTGTATGTACAAAGAATTTTAGACAATTGTTTTTTTTATGGAATAGTTGGCAAACGAGCAGACGGATCACCTGATGGTAAGCGATCGGCGCCGCCCATGGACATCCGCAACACCAGAGGAGCCACAGGTGCGTTGCCGGCCTTTTAAGAAGGAATACGCTCGTTTTTTGAAGGTTTGAAGGTCGTATCGGTTCGGGAATACCGCCGCCCGGAATGTGAGATCTTTTTTACTGTATCTATAATAATTTATATCTACACTAATATTATAAATGCGAAAGTAACTATGTCTGTCTGTCTGTATGACTTTTCTTCATGCCTAAACTACAGAACCGATTTCGGTGAAATTTGGAACAGACATAGTTTGGAACTGAAACGACATACGGACAACGGCTTTTATACCAAAAATCTGCAGGAAGTCACTATACCACGCGGACGGTGTCGTGGGCAAAAGCTAGTTGAAAGTATATGCGAAAGTCACTCTCGATATTAGTGGGTAGCTGATCAAATAATTGAGTGACACTCAATTCTCACCTAATATAAAAAAATAGAAGAATGATTTTAAATATTTTTAAAGTTCGAAGCTCAAAATGGAACGCCTCTAGTTTTAAAAATTCTCGTGAATAATTTTTATACTTGTGTTTATTATCTGTAAAGTAAATAAATAGAACCAACCTTATAGACTATTTTACAATAATAATAACAATAAAATCATGTATAAAATTAAATCGTTTTATTTTGTTTCACTCGGAAGAAATACATTTTATACCACCATCAATGGTCGATAATAGTTTTATGTCTGATTTTTCAATAGTCAGATAAATGTTAACTGAGGAATAAAATTGTTTCTATCACTGTCTGATACAAACATTCTGACGCGACGGCATCATAATTATTCCCCAGATAACTTTTATTTAACCATTAAAAAATCAGCCCTATGAAGACATAAAAATATCAGACATCTTATGTTTCTTTTTTAAAATGTTTTAGAGAAATATTTATGCAATAGTTTCAATACGTAAAGCCTTTGCTGTTTTACAAAGTATTAGGTACTTCCATTTTAATTGAGGAATTGTAGGGTAGCTTTGATTTTTTTAGTAGCCTTTAAAAACCTCTTTATTTTGTGCAAACATTCTAGTCAATAATCATGGAAACCGATATAGATTAAAACTAGTACCCATTCTAGTCTAAAAACCTAGTTACGAACATATTTGATTCATTTTTAAATGAGTGGTTACGAATGAGTTTGTACGGAAATATAACATCGTCTGTCTCTGTATCGCTCAACCCTTTCGCAAAAATGTTCACAAATAACTTTTTATTTAGTTTCTATGGTTTTTAACATGAAAGCGTGATAACACAAATTTCTAAAAGTATATCCGTGCGAGTAAGATGGCAGATATTCCCAATACGACGTAGGTATTCCTTTAAATAGTTAGTTTATTTTTCTATTTATTTCTCATTTCACTGTATAATTTTTGTACAAAATATACCGAAGAAAACTACCCTGTTGTCTCCAAAACAAAGAAACAAATATTTTCCGAATTTAAAAATACAAAACTACACGATTATTTTACGTAGGTACTGAGATGGCACTTTGCCTAAAAAATCTTAAAAAAATCACAGAAAACTTACGTTTAATGTTGGCTACCGTTTTTTTCACTCACTAGATGACGCTAGTCAAAAAAGACGTCAGTTTGTCCAATCACTGTAGCTGACAAAAATTTAACGGCCAATCCATCGATCACTAATAAAGAACTAGATACACAATCCCATACAAAAGTTCGCTTCAAAACTGTCGCCAACTGTATTTAGGTACTTATACTTGAAATAAACATGCATTAATGTAAATTAAACCTTAAATGCAACTCATAGAGTTGTTTTTACAAAGTGATGTACAAAATGTTAATATTTTTTGCGACCGAAGCTCTTGACAAACATAAATCATAAGAAATTGAACCATATTCGCATGTTTTTAAGTCGAATTTACAAAGTGTCAAAAATAAACAATAAAATTTAACGACTTCGGCTCACCGCTAGGACAAAGAATGATTGAAGTCGAAATGTGTCGTAAGAAATATATTTCTTTCGTATTTTATAATTTATCAAAAAAAGAAAATACGCAAATTAAAACGCATTACTTATAGTATTCTTTTCTATAGGTTTGTTCATTTATTTACCAATGAAACTAATGCATATAGTTATAATTTTTTTTTTATTATTTTCGTCCTCCTTAATCCTTTCTATTCGAAGTGAAATAAAAAAGATGTAAAATAATAAAAAGAGTATATATCTAAAGTAAGTACTGAAAATGTTGGCGTTATTGTTGTCAATTTTTCATATCGCACGGGTTTTGATGAAAGCTAAAAAAAAAATTTCTTTACTGCAGTTAAAATTAAATCTATTATATCTGCCTATTCCATATTTTAATAAACACAGTAAAGAAGTATAATATTAAATAAAAACTATTTTTTAATAAAAAAAACAATTAATAAAATTAGAAACAATAGCGTCTCCACTAAACGGAACAGAATCAATCCACGTAAACCGAACAACTTAAGTGGTCATGCTAGAGAGTGGCATTGCACAAATCGGAGGCCCTGTGTTTTCATGGGCCGAGGATGAAGCCACCTCAGGGGTCCAGCATCATAGTAGGAGGGGTTTCCATCGCTGTTGAGTCCACGATGAAGTACCTCGGACTCGTTCTCGACAGTCGGTGGAATTTCGGGCCGCACTTTACACGGCTCGCCCCCCGGTTGATGGGCGCCGCTGCTGCTTTGTCGCGCTTGCTGCCCAACCAGGGGGGGCCCATCTACTCCTCCCGGAGGCTCTACATGGGGGTCGTACGGTCGATGGCGTTATACGCCGCGCCAGTGTGGGCGGGAGCCCTGACGGCTCGCAACATCGCTGCGCTGCGAAGGCCACAGCGCGCGATGGCCGTCAGGATAATAAGGGGATACCGTACGATCTCCTTTGAGGCAGCGAGCCTCCTAGCCGGATCCCCGCCCTGGGACCTCGACGCAAAGCTCCTCGCGTCACTCTATTGGTGGCGTGCGGAGGCAGTCGAGCGGGGCGAGCGCCTGGTGCCTCGACAGGTTGAGGCACGCAGGGCAGAACTCCGCCAGGCCTTAGTGGCGGAGTGGCAGACGCGTTTAGCGCAACCCACGGCGGGGCACGCCGCTATAGCGGCGGTAAGGCCAATTCTACAGGAGTGGCTCAATAGGAGCCACGGCGCCCTCAGCTTCCGGCTGACGCAGGTGCTTACCGGACACGGGTGTTTCGGGAAGTACGTGTGTCGCATAGGCCGGGAGCCGACGTCTCAGTGCCACCATTGTGGTAATTGCCGCGACGATACGGCGCTGCATACGTTGGCGGAATGTCCAGCTTGGGCCGAGCAGCGCCGTGACCTGGTCGCGGCCGTAGGTGCTGCGGGAAATCTCTCGCTTCCGGCTGTAGTGTCTACTATGGTCGGGAGCGAGTCAGGGTGGAGTGCCGTCGCTATCTTTTGCGAGGCCGTGATGCTCGCAAAGGAGGCGGCGGAAAGGGAGAGAGAGGCTGCCTCCTCTCTTCCCTCCCGCAGCAGACGCACTAGACGTCATAGAGTGGCCGACCTGCGGCCACCGTAGGGCGCGGCCTGCGGACGACAGACTCGGGGCGTCTAGTCGTCCGACCAGCAGCAGGCCCCGAGGCGGCGGTGCCGTGTTCCGCGCGCGCCTCGTAGTGGAGTCCTGCGGTCGGGGTGACGGCCGCAGTGGGTGACGGGGCCCGCCTTACTATCTGGCGGGCCAATACCCGTCGGGGGGTTGCGACGAATGCTTCGGCGATACCCGCCCCTCCGACACATGGGTTATTGGAGGAACACCGGGTTGGTTTTTAGTCAGTAAGAGTCTGACAGTACCCTTCGCCCTTACCCCGAGGGCGGTGGGTCTCCATGAGGATTTTCCAACCCGACACCAAAAAAAGCTAGTGGTCATGCTAGAGAATGATTTTAAGTTTGGTATAAGTGTCTTTATAAACTGTGTGCATTATAACCCCGGTTTTTGAATACGATTTCATTTGGAAAAAGTTTTAAAGTTGATTTCTTAATAAAATATCAATATTTAAAATAGAATGATGACAATTATATAATGATAATATTATTACTTAACGAAAATATGAAATTCCATCCTTTTTGCGTATTAAATTTGTGTTTTTTGCAGTTTTTAAACGAGCACTGAGGCGTGTTTACCGTCGGAGCATTCGAGTGGTACTAAACTAAAACTACACCGCGATGTTGAGTTTGGTGGACTTTCAGTTAGGACATTTTTTTGTCACTGATTGTGTATCTAGTTCTTTATTAGTGATCGATGGGCCAATCGCGTAATACTAGCTGCATTCCTATTTGACGATAAGACGACAGGTCCACGTTGGCCCCATTTAGTGAATAAAAAATGGTAGCTATACACTTCATTACCAGTAGCTGGTAGTAAATAAATGCATAAATAAGCTAAAGAGAGAATTCATCTGCCAATTTCTGCAGTGATCTGTTTTCTCTTTTCAAAATAGTTCCAGGAACCAACTAGCTAATTTATAAGTAGATAAAATTACAATTTTACTGTACACGGAATGTTTTTTTTCTGTATGCGTACAGAAAAAGTTTGTGGCTTACCATTCATTGGCCAAAAACCCATGATTGGTTATTTATAATGGAGCAATGTGTTTTAATATACAAATAAATTAAGCTAGTTGGCCGCATGATAATGTTATTATTTTACACCTTAGACACAGGTATGAGTAGCCAGTTTGTATCTGTTTATACCTTGTCCACACTTTTCACAGATTGTTATTTCTATATGTTCTTTTAAATGATGTTCCATTAATTTGGCATCAACAAATTGCTTATTGCAAATATGGCACATCGTTGTTTCACTTGCATGGAGTATTGAGTGACGGAATAAAGAGGTTCTAGTTGCGAAGCTACGTCCACATGACTCGCACAAGTGACGAGTAGGTTCCGGCTTGGAAGTATGCGTCTTCACATGTAGGTACATTTCTTTGCGGTCCATCAATGTTATGTTGCATACTTTGCATCTGTAACAATCAATAAATTAACGTTTTTGTTATGTCTATTAAAACCACAATAATTACGTAAATATTTTATTTAGTTAACTGAGCCAAGTAGCAAAATGTGAACCACTTGTACTGACTGAAAACTGAACTATCTGTTACCTTCTTAGTCAATTTTATTCAATTAATAAGAATACCCAAGTACCTACAACAATTTTATATTAGACTAGGAACAAAAAATTCATTATAATCATTAGCCGAAAGACACACAAAAACAACTGCCTCCCTTTTAACCCTCCGCATCAAATGATAAGGTGCCACCTACATCCATTGGCTCAAATAAATTGGAACAAATAATTAATTTTGTTCAATAAACAAAAAAACTAATAATTTGATTTTAGGAAATTGAAAAGGTTTTAGTTTACAATGAATATCCTAAATCTGAAATAGGAGTTGAATACAGTGAAATATTTAGTTTTCTTAAACACTGAATTGTTCAAATCATTTCTTGCTTATTTTAAACATTTCTATTGTATAATAGGCACCCAACTATCAAAAGTGTTGAGATTACTCATTTAGTTAGCCAAAATTTTAATTAATTATCGTATACATAGTAAAACCTCACCTGTAAATAACCTTCTCAGGTTTTTCATGTTCATCCTTCCTATGTTTAATCAGGGCATCCGTACCATTAAATGTGTGACCACAAATATCACACACTCTCTCTTCAGCCTTAACAATATGTTCCTTAGCATGTTTGTACAGTTGAAATCTCTCTTTAAACGTGTCTCCACATCCTTTACATCGGTACACACATCCAACCGAAGCTGCATAGTCCATGAGACAAGTTTTGTGGTGCTGTAACAGTCTCTCTTTAGATGGGAATTCTTGACCGCAGTTACAGGTAAAAGGAGCCGATGTATTGTGTGTAATTGAGTGCATTTGCATTTGTTGCTTAGAATTAAACAGCATATCACAATGTATACATGTTCTAGATGCTATGTCACAAACACTCAAGTGCTGTAGCAATTTTTGTACTGTATCATACTTAGTTTTACATCCAAAACAGATGAATGCACTAGATTCTACTTTTACTTGATTGACTTTGGTTTTGCTATCTAATTCCCTCATTACTATACCTTTTACCATCTGTACTTCTGAATCACATAAATCCTTTTCTGATTTAAACTTTTTCGCCAAATTTATTTTTTTAGGACTTGGCACTTTAGTGATTTTGTTATTCAATTTACTTATTTCAAAACTATGCTCATTTTTGTCTAACATGTTCACAATACACGGTATATCTTCCTTACCCAAGTTGTTTAAGTATTCCTCTATGTTCGCTGTATTGTTTAGAAATTCTAGGAGTGAGTCTGAGTTGTATTCAGAGTCCGGTAACGGCTGTATCACCATTTTGCTTTCCGTCTTGTTTTTCAACTTTTCTTGGATCGAAGATTCAAGCCAGTCTTGAGAACAGCGAGCATTGAGTTGAAAATTATAAAATTGGTTCAATAACGATACACAAGATGAACAAATCGTTTTAGGAAGATGATCATTGGATGATACGGTTACGGAAAGACATGCTTTCAATTGAAGGGTGATGGTGGGGTTTTCCAGTATGTTGACATGGTCCGATTCGACGTCCAGACATATTCGACAGCAGTTTTGAACATCATCGCACATTTTATTTATTTTTCAATAATATTTATTTGGATATTGATTGACACCGGTATAGTCAGACGTTAGTGACAGTTTACTTTCTGACAGATCCAAAATCATTGATCTACAATCAAAGTTTGAATTTGTATCTCAGGTGCCCTATGTTACACTTATTATTTAAAGAAGTAAATAATACGTTAGTTAGTTTTACATTTTTTATATTTAACACGAAACCACAGTGAAAATATAACTTTATTTACAATAAATATTATATCATCCACAGGGTACTTTTTACTCGTTTCTGAACGGAAACTAAACAATCAGGATATGAGGTCAAGGACGTTGAAATTAAGGTACCGTGTAAGCAGAATGAAGCCCATGACATTTTCATTGTTGAATCATCATCATTTCATGTGTTGAGTGAAATAATTGCCGATCAAAATAATTAAAATTTAACCTATATAACATAAAGTTGACTTACCTTGCAAAATTTTTAAAATTGTAATTCAAAATTTATAGTATAATAATGTAGGTATGCACCCAGCGTGAACGTTAAGCACATAATTAATATAAATCATATTAGGTTGTGTACATTTTTACCAATAACTATTGCTTCAACATCTCTAACTCACTTTAATATTAATTTATAAATAGCATAAAGCATGTACGGAACTACTAGCGAATTCACAACTTGCACTGACTAGCAGCGTGACAGTGACATTAGATTCTGTCAAATTATAAAAATGAAAGGTGGGTTCTGCGGGTAGGCTCTGCTTGCATTGAGTTTCGCAAATTAATTAATTTACATATCGGCGTCGCATGAATGTGTGATTTTATCATGTATATCAGTGAACGTTAAATGCGAAATTCGAATTTTCAAATCGGACTTATTGTGTGGTGTTTCAACGAAATATAAAACGACGAGTGACGCTGACTGGTGTTGATGTCAGAAACCCATGTTTTGCGACAAAACATTGTGTAAATTAGGCACGGAGAGAACAAGTCGCCAGTATGTCTAGCTCCAAAGAAAATAATACTAATAATGAGGCACACGAATCATTGTTATATTCTGCCAGGCATGGAGAACTGTCTGTGGTCAAGGCGATGTTGGAAGCGAAGGATGAAGGGAAGTTGACTATTGATATCAATTGCAAAGGTAAGTTTAACAACTTAATAATAGTTCCAAGTTACAAAACTATTTAATATTTTATAAAATGTGTTCCTTACTCAAAATTTTCATTTCTATTATGCTGATGTGATAATAACAATTTAATAATATACTTATTAAATTACTAGCGTTCCTTAAGAGTTTTACTCTGTACATCTACACCAAGTTATTACTTATCCATATATTATGTGTAGACATGCCAAAACAGAGATACAAGGAAAGTTCTCACAGATTTACTTTTTTGAAATCAGACTACTTGTTCCATAGAGTCTCCTGTTTAAAGAAATAAAACTCTTTATTATCATAGCGCAGATTTTTTTAAATTTGTAAACAAAAAGTTCAAAGTACAAAATGAGGTCATAGTATGAGTTTGTACAGTTGTGAGACATTCCATTATCATAGGTTTTTAATTATTATGACCAACTATCAACTATGAGTCATTGTTTCACTAAGCCATTGTTTACATTTTATAATAACTAACAACAAATCATTATAGAACACTGAACTGTGTCTGTGTCAGAAGGGTTGATTGTCACTGGCCTTTTTATAACTTTTTTAAATGTTGTTGTTGAGTTTAACAACATTATAAACTGCATGTTCAATTCAAATAGTTTTGTTGATACTGTTACTGTAGGAACTTTGCCTATTACTAAATAGGTAATTCAGTAATGTGCTCTCTTCTCCCAAAGAAATAAGTTTGCCCAATATATTCTGTTCCATGTAGGTACAAAGATTTAAATTGGTAAGTATGTATACCAATTTATTTGTTCAAACATACATAGAACAGATATTTGTGTGTTTACTTGAATAAAGTTATCTTTTATGTTAATTTAAACTAGATAATACATTTAAAAATGTCTTAATATTTAGTACCTAATCAGTATTCAATTATTCAACCTTAAACCAAAACAAGGGCAAGTTCAAATTCCTTATGTAGTACCGTAGAGTTCTTGGTAAAGTTCTTAATAAGCACATTTAAATTTGTATCTTTAAACTTAAAAACTAAAGTTGACAACTTACAGAATTATTATATTAATATATTTATTAGACTTTAAAACCATATAAAACAATAGTAGAACAAGATAACATTTTATGAGACAAGAAAAACAAGTATGCTAATTTGTTACTCATTCGTGATATTTTATTTGAACTAATAATTAACATAATCTGTTTGCATCATTTCATATCACTATCTATTTGATCTGTTGAGTTTTTTCCATTTCTGTCATGTTACAAGTTTAACAAATGTTGAGAAATATGATTGAAATGAGTTAATTGTTGTAAATAAGTAGTGACAACTTTCTAAGTCAGTTTAGGCTTCTGCATATGCCTCTAAGCTATCATAAATGAGCAGTTAATGATAGTAGTTTACACATAACATAACATTGTGACATAATAAGGCCTTCCTTTATTATGTCACAATGTAGGCCTTCCCTTATTATGTAGGGAAGGCCTTATTATGTCACAATGGAAGGGGGGGGGGATATGTAGTATAAACTTCATTTAAAAATAAATTTCAGAAACAACCTACTTAAAACAACACTTGAGATGACAAAAAGCATAATTTTTACTGATAGGTTACCCACTTATATGTTCTGAAAAAGCATATAAAGTACAAATCTATGGTCTAAAATGAGAAACCTCCTTTTTCAGAAGTTGGTACCTAATAATACTACTACACATGACTAAACCCTTTGCTTGATACTCGTAATATACGAGCACAAGCCTATGAACAAATACAAATCACAAACTAAAATGTTTTACTCAGCCCACCTTGATTTGGCCACAATTTTCTTTCAGTTCTTAGCTCAAACTCTTAGCAATTTATAGTAATATTTTTATAATCTTCTCAAATTACTATATTACATAATATTTTATCAAAATAAAACATGTATATTTTCCAGGCAAAAACAAAACAAATCTAGGTTGGACTCCACTTCACTTGGCCACATATTTCGGACATAAGGATGTAGTAGAAGCATTATTAGAGGCTGGTGCCAATGTAGACGAAGTCAATGACACCGGCGACTCTGCGCTACATAAAGCCTCCTTTATTGGAAATGAGGTAAGAATGTGTTTCGTAAAAAAGTTATTCAACCATAGATATTGTGTTATTGTGAAGCTAGAGTAGTTAGCGTTATGATACATGGCGGGAATCGCGAACTGTCAGGACAGGCAGTGAAGCTGACTTATTGAAAGTTACTACTTAAGTTTTACACGTGAATTGAGAAACGCTCTAGGTAGATACTAGTTTCAAGTCACATTGGGAATTCAATTAGTCGTAAAGATGTCGCATGCTCTTTAGTAAGAGTCCTGATGGCCTACTATGACGTGTTAAAGCGTGAATCTTCCGGTCGAGAAAGAAGGATGGAGCTATAAAAGGTGTATAGCTCTATAGACTGATCGATTTTAGGAATATGCTTTATTTTTTTATCTAGCTACTCTCGCGTTGTTTCAGCCGCTGATCAGCTCCTACAGATCGTTGATCGTAGCGTGATGTTATGCAGCCTATAGCATTCCCCGATAAGCCAGGCCAGTAGTTCTGGAGTTTAGCGTGTTCAAACAAACAAAATATAAACTCTACAGCTTTATAACATCAATATAAATTCTATTAATTAAGTTGCTCTTGAGTTGGTGTCAAAGACGACTGTCTAATATCTTTTGGATTAAAGTCGTTTGTTCATATTAGCCGTAAAAGCCTCCGAGGCGCTTCTACCGCCTCCTACGCGGTGCTGTTTTGGAATATTTCCATGACGATCAACGAAACGTGTCTTCTATATTTGGCTGACACTCCCTAAATGATCGACCGACCTATATTTACACTAGGCAGAAACTCGCTCTTTTAAACGGTGTCGATTACAGTTCCACACTTCATTGAATTTTCCAACTTAATTAAATATGGAACATTATACTCTGGTTATGATGTCACGTTGTATTTTTCCTCTTCACGAGGTGCAAACGCTGGCAGATTTAGCTCCTTCAATGTGTCAGACTTTAATGGATTTTTCATTCGTTTTGTATTTTGATTACGTTTGTCAATAAAGTCGAAAATCGGACAAAGTTTTTAAGTTAACTTCATGTTAAGTCTGTATTCAAATAGATGCGACATGAGTTTTGAACTAGTTCCTTCCTTAAAATTAAAGAATTAACGCAACAAAGACCTGATTCACTAGAATATCAGTACCTACTTACCTGATGTTTTCTGGCAGATCGCGTAAAAATACTTCGTATATTATAATAATTCACTGCCTGCTCTGGCTCTCATTGGTCGCCGCGTGATTTTAATTATATTTTATTCGATAAATGGGGAATATCCATCGTTAACAAAGATGTTCCAATTCAAACCAGTAGTTCCCGAGTTCCGGGCGTTCAAACAAATAAATTCTTTAGCTTTACAATATTCATTTATAATATTAGTAGAAATTTGGATAACCATGTTTATCCACAGCATGTCAATCTCGTTATGGCTGTGTTAAAGTTAATATTATTTAAAATTTAAGACTAGAATGTTCTTAATCAATCCATTCAATCTCTCCAACAGGAACTAGTGATCCTCCTATTAAAATACAAAGCTGACGTCAATATAATGAACGGCGAAGGTCGGACGCCATGTGACATGTCTAAGACGAGAGACGTGCAAAGATTGCTCGAGGCTGCTGGGAGGGCGGAGAGGCACGAACGAGAACTAAGACTACTGACAGCCGCCAAGGATGGCAGGATTGAAGATATTCAGGAATTGGTATGATATTTTTTTATATAATTACTAGTTGCCGCCCGCGGCTTTTCCCGCGTGGTATGTTGATGAAAAGCCTATGTCCTATTCCGGAGTGTATCCTATGCCTGTGCCAAATTTCATCTAGATCTGTCCAGCCTTTTTGGCGTGATTGAGTAACAAACATCCAAACATCGTAACTTTCACATTTATTATATTAGTAAGATATTATTAAGATTACTTACATGGAATACGATAGTTACCAACTAATCAAATTCAATACTTTTATCCAAATGTCAAAAACGATGCTTTTCGTATGAAACTGTAAGTTATGACGTCATAGTAGTTTTGAGTCAAATAGCTTATTTGTTTTTTTTTAAATTTGCTAAAATATCGAACATTTAATGAATCGACATATGGATGAATAATGATGTAGTTATTTTTCAATGTGTTATTGTATTGAGGCGTGAAATTAATTTATTTTTGACACAGGAAACTACCCAATTCCTTCTAAGATTATTTAGACATCACTGTCCTACGGTTAAAGAAAACGTCGTGAGGAAACCTGGACTTTTTTCTTATTATAGATACGTTTGAAATCGCCTTGCAAAAGCAAGCGTGCATCAATGACCACTCAATCCTTCTCCGTGTGAGGAGGGGCCTTTGATCAACAGTGGGCACTTATAGGCTGTTGATGAATGCAATAAGAAGTTCTGTTTATTTCAAAGTCTTCACCATGACCTACATCACATCGACATTCATCTATCCATTCCAAAGTATAGCCAAAATCCTACCCTAATAAAAACCAATATAAATTTTAATATTTTCAGCTAAGCAGTCCGAATCCCCCAAATATAAACTGCGTAGATGCGCAAGGCAACACGTGTTTACACTGCGCAGCGTACAGAGGGCACACCAGGCTCGCTGTGTTACTTCTACAGAATGGAGTCGATACTACGCTCAGGAATAATAGTGGTAAGTAGGTACAATACCGCCAACGTATCTTGGCGAGTCTGAAGTTAGCCGATTAGCTGCGCAGTACACAATGTTGTTCCTAAAAGATCCATTGCGCAGACAAACGGCTAACTTCAGACTCGCCAAGATACGTCGGCCGTACTGTATGCCTCTATATATAACTAGCTTATGTCGCGCGGTTTCACACGTTGCTTAGCTCCTAAATATCATAGCGTGATGTTTTATATATAGGCCTATAGCCTTCCTCGATAAATGGACTAGCAAACTCAAAAAGAATTATTCAATTCGAATCAGTAGTTCTAGAGATAAAAGCGTTTAAACAAACAAACAAACTCTTTAACTTTATAATATTAGGTATAGACTAGCTACTTCCGCGCGGTTTCACTCGCTGCTCGGCTTCATTTGATTGTAGCGTGATGTCTTATAGCCTATGTCACTAGGGAACATTGTAGCTATCAATAAGTGAATGAATTTTGGGAATCCGACCAGCGGTTCCTAACTTTACCCCCTACATACAAACTTACAACATTTGACCTCTTTATAATATTAAGTACAGATAAAAATAACATAATTAATTTAATCTAATACGTAAGGACGTCTTTTAGTTAGGCAGCAATGCTCATATGTAAGTATATTCAAATAAAATGGTGTTGATCGATTGCCATTCCATGTTTATGAGCCGCAAGGTAAGGGGACCATGAAATGAGTTCTCCAATGTATCTTCAACTTTATCTTCCCAGGTCAGTTAGCAATAGACATGGCTAAAGACACAGAGATGCGTGAAGTTTTAAGTGTGCGGCCGGTGCAGCGGTTACAGAGAACTGCCGCGAGGTTCGAGGGTCCGCTGATGAAGAGGTCACGGTTCTTGGGATGGAGACCAGTTTGGGTGAGTTGAAGAATAGATCCAATTGTTGATAAATTTAAGAAAATATGTATATTTTATGAGATGGAACGGTCAACGAGCTGCCGCAGATGACCTGATGGTAAGCAATCAGCGCTGCCCGCAACAACGAAAGAGTTACGAGTGCGCCATAATCATTAAACTGACTACAAGGTTGGTGCGGCGACGCGGGGTCGATTTCCGTACGGAACAACTCTTTTTGCAACCCTGAAATTGTTGTTCCGTGTCTGGGTGCTACAAATAAACATACAATACCTATTGAGTGGTAACGTTTTTTCACAACAAAATAAATTGTCCCAAGTCTCTGTTTGCCTTTAGTCGATTCTTGTGATAATAATTTATCCGCTCAACACAAAACGTAAGCAAGGAAGATGTCTGCAGGCGGTAGTACAGCGCGGCGTGCTCCTGTACTACGGGTCCCGCGCGGAGGCGGCGCGGGGCGGCACGCAGTGGCGCGGCCGCAAGTACCTGGACGGCGCCACGCTCAGCGCGTCCGACACCGACCCCGCCGCCATACTACTGCGCTTCAGCGACGGCGACACGCATCGCCTCGCCGTACAGGCTGAACGAGACGTGCCTGCCTGTCGACAGGTCAGTTCTAGGGACTATTAAGCAACTATTAATTAATTAATTATTATACTTTATTGCACACACACATACATTTATAAAAAAATACAATAAAAATATGTACAAAGGCGAGTTTAATCCAGAGTTGGGTTCTCTAACAGCAAACCTTAGAGGAACAACTGTTAAATATCATCAATGATGACAAAATATTCGATTTATGTTATTTTCTTATTCTTTTTTTTTATTGCAAATGTTTAAAATACAGCGTAAACACACCATGTTTTGTATGAATTAAAAATACTGCCCTTATTTTTCGCAAAATGTTTCTATGATAGGATCAAACTCGCCAGTGGCGCCATCAAAGAAAAATGTTTGATTAAACTAATAAATAGAATTAGTTAAATGCCTATACTTTAAAAATGGTTTTCATTTGCAATTTGTATAGCAATGGATAACTGCATTGAACGAGCACATTGCATACTCTGGCCACTATCTGTGGGCGGGCGCGTCGCCAGACACAGCGCGGGAAGCTACAGAGGACTTGGAAGACGAATGTAAACCATTGGGTAAGGAGAAATTAATTATAAATTATATATATGTCCATTATTACAACTGTTTTCTCTTGAAAACTATGAAATAAAATCTATATTTAATATCAGTAAACCTTTAGTCTATTAAAGTAATTCCGTAATTGGTCTTAAAATATTTAAAGAACTTAAAGCCGGCTAACAGACAAGATTTTTTTTATTATGAGCCGTTGTACCATTTTAGAAGAAATATCACCTTGTTATCGATCAATTCGTTGGACACTGTTTTTAAAATTTTATTCTTTTAAGAATACCATTTCCCTCTTTAAACCCAGTAAAATACCTTAAAAAGTTTTGCAGAAGAGTATATGTGTTGGTCCTGTCCCAGGTTCGATGCAGGACGCGCTGACGGCGGCGACGAACAGCCTGGCCCTGCTGGACACGCAGCTGCGGGAGTGCGCCGCCATAGTGGCCGCGCTCGACAAGTCCCTCAACGTCGGCACCTCGCTACACCACTCCGCTTACATGGTCGGTGCTACCGTATTACGAATTCTCTTATGCTGGATCACTGGATAAGGATCTCAAATAGGATCAGTTGCACATGTCTAGTCTACCCAGCTATTAGGTGCGCAGTTATGAAAGACACTGCCACTCGCCAAAATATACTTTTTAATACAGTTGCTCAAAACGTAGCGTATGGCAGGGACGTGTAGCGTTCGGGATTTGGACTATTTTACACACACTCGTGCTTTTTTTGCCTTTCCCGCACTAGTGCGTTTTCTTTTCCAATCGTCAAAATAATTTCTATTAAAAAAATCAACCATGAAGTTTTAACTAAAAAAAATCATAGAAGTTTTGCGACTCATGCAAATAGGTTTATTTATTTCTAAAAAGAAGCTAACAATACTAATTTGTCCAATATCAGAATTAATTATTTGATTGAATGAGTTAGGTAAGGTTTCAGTTCATTTCATGTCACTAATTTCAATTTCATTTCTGGTAATAAAATATTAAGTACTAAAAACTTGGCTGTATGGGCAGTTCCCTTTGCCTACCAGAATGGGTGAAAAAACTGCTTAAGTACATTCTACGATTGGCGCCATTTTCCGAAATTTTCTTTTCGCCAGTTTTGTTGTTTTTTTTCAATGACGTATTATATATAGACACGCCATGAGCCAACATCGCGGCGCTTAAAAACGGCGAAAATACTAGATAACTACTTCTACGAGTAAAGAAAGGGAAAGAAAATATGAGATCGTATAGTAGAATGCCTTTGCTAGAGGGAGATAAATATACATCTTCAGTTACATCACAGGATAAGTAATAGTTAAACTACATTTTCATTGGTCGAGCGCACTATTGACGTAGCTATTAGAGGCATATGGGGAAGATTTTCTTGACTTATAAAATAGTTGATTTGTATCATTACGATTTTAATAAAAAGAAAAAGAAAATCTTTAAAATGTTATTGATGGAATTCCGTAACAGTAATTATTGTTACATATTAAATTAAAAAATAAAACAATATCCTTATAAACATAAAAGAACCTTTATTTAATACTGTAAAAAACATTAACATACTAATAGGCAATCAAACAGTATAGTAATCGAAGTCATATATTATAGACTTGTGGTGCAGATACATATTTTTAAATTCCTTCAAACAAACTTAATTTCTTTTTTGCCTCTTATAATTAATATTCATAACATAACAAGTATAATTATTATATTCAAACAATATTATAAATTCTATCAACAAAACAAAAACACTAGTAAGTATAATAGTGTCTCAACCTCCTCTATCGGCACGTGACTATACCTTCATGCGCCGGCCGCCATAAGATGGCGGGCGCCGGCATCGAAAAAAATAAAATAAAAGTAGGTTGTTTGGTGAACTTACGCATGAAATGACACATTTTTGTCTTTAACTTTTGGAGTATAATTTGTACACACACGACGACATGCTTGCTTTATGTTTCGCACAGGTTTACACACACGGTATAAATTAAAAACAAACGTAGCGTCGCGCGGCAGATTGGTGCGTAACTAAGCGCGATGTTGTCAATTGCCTTCATTTCATGTCATTTTAGAGCGCGGACAACGTATCTATAGTTTTATACATCATTGTTTTTTTTTACACAAAATGAGTGATTTCGATTAAATTGCTTAATTTTAACTCTTTGCAATGACAGCCATCCCGTGCTAGTAATGAAATGTACTATTTTATTCGGACTTCTCCATAATATTGTTAGAAAGACGAGTTCTTACAATCTAATGTTAATAAGCAAAACAAAAGAAAAATTGGTGAATAAAAAACAATAAAAAATGTCCAACCCAACATCGGAAAGCCTAACATGCTATTTCGCAGCGGGCAGTCGTATCCAGTGCTCCAGCGTCGAAGGGTCCCACTGAAATCAGTTAACACTCAACTTTAAATTGTTCTCATCATTTTACTGGAGTTCTGAAATAGTTCTTTAGATACTTGTAATAATAGCACTTGACTGACACTTCTATATTAACAATATTCCTGTTTTTTTTATCTGTTCTTTTTATAAAAAAATGTTTAGGTAGCACATTGTATCCTTTTCCATTCACTACAATTTGGTTATTATTTTTTAAATTAAGTTCTTGTGTTGTATAAGTTTTGAATGTTTTGTTGTAGCGCTTCCAACACGTTTGTGGTACGGGTTCGGAAGCTTTATCAGCGTTACGTCATTGCGCTGCGCTTGTAGCTCAGGCCAGGGACGCAGACTCCGCCAGACTTAGCAGAGAGGTAATATACTAGGGTCATTTCCGATAATTGCTATATTCAATTCTTTTGAAAAAAAAAACAAATACAACTGTTAATATGATTTCTTTCTTTCTTGAGTTTTGTATGATGATTCGTTGTGACATTATATTTTTGCATCAAATAGCATTGTTAATTCTCCTAAAATGTCTAAAAAAATAATCATGTATTATTATAGTATTCTTCGTAAGTCTTGTTTAAAATATTTATTAAAAGACCAGGAACGGTTTAAAAGATTTGAAGCCTCAAGTTTGTCGAGTCATCTAGTAGCTAAAAAAAGTATGTAGTATATCGCAAAATTAATAGAACTAAAAATTGGCCGCACATCTCCATATTATCATCGTTAAACCTTAACTGATTTTGTTTTCTCCGTATCTGTCTATAAAAGCTGGCTATAATCACTAGCTAAGCCAGCTATTTAATATAGCCAGCCAGCAGTATATTATATATTAATAGCCAGCTTTTTTCAATCTGCAAAAAATATGTTAATTTTTTTTTTATTTGTTCGTCAACAGATAGAACGCAACCGCGTGTTAGAAGAGGCTCTCGCGGCGTTAGCGAGAACGCATCACGCGTTGGAGATGTCAGTCGCAGAAGAACTAACTAAGGTACTTAAAAAAGTAAAATTTCAACTAAGAGTGGCTTGTGTCTACCGAGTTAACCGTCTTTTTTTTATTTGATGGGTCAAACGGGCAAACGAGCAAATGGATTACCTGATGGTAAGCAATCAGCGCCGCCCATGGACGCCCGCATTAACGGAGGAGGTACGAGTGCGTTGCCGACCTTTTGAGGATTAGGGATTTGGAGATTTAGGGATTGGGGAGAGGAAGGATTGGGCCTCCGGTAACCTCACTCACACGGCGAAACACAATGCTGTGGTTTTTCACGTCAGTTTTATGTGAGGCCGTGGTGTCACTCCAGTCGAGCCGACCCATTCGTGCCGAAGAATGGCTCTCCCATACAAAAAAAGGTTTACATTTTAACTTTCATTCATAGGATTGGACATAACATATTTTTATTATGTGGATGGTTTTAGACGTTTTGAGCATCTGTGAAAAGTTTAATATATTTTTGGTATCTCTTTTTGTTTGTTGCAGAGCAAAAGAAAGAAAAAGTCGAAATCATCATCCACACTGAACGACTCAAAAGAAAATTTCTTTGATGTTTTTGAAGGTAAGTCGTTACAGGTATTGTTATTATTTTATTAGAATATGAAAATGAATTAACTTATAAGCGCGTAACACATCAACGCCAAATATTTTTTTGTTGTGTATTGCCAAAAAAGGTTTTTAGAAGAAAATTTTAGAAAAGTATTAGTAGGAAAAAATCGGGTAGTAGCCATCGTTTCGAATTTTCAAAGCCGTGGCGGTTCTTTAAGGAACGTAAACTAATGACACTGACGCTGAGGTAGTTTGATACACATAAGTAGCAGGTTCGGGCAGTTAGTTTTTCTATAAAATAACTTAATCTCACGCGGTTTCACTCGCAGGTCGGCTCCATTTGAATGTAGGGTGATGTTTTATAGCCTTTATAGCCTATAGTATTCGGGAACATTGTAGCTATCAAAAAGTAAAAGAATTTTGGAATCCAAAGATTACATACAAACTTACAAATTTTACCTCTTTATAATATTAGTATAGATGAAATGAAAGCGATATTTTCTCATCGTGCTTCCTTTCATTTTGCAGTGAGGCGTAAGATTCAGTTATCCCAATCACTGTAATCGTCAATGTTAGTTATTGATCCATGTAATAAAACGTACAATAAACACCGAAGGCCCAATCCTCCCTCCTCCAGAGAGACTCTCCTCAAATCCTTAATTCCCTATTCTTAAATCTCTAACAAGCCACCTAAGGCCGGCAACGCAGCCATTTTTTACCAGTTATACTATGAGCGCCTTATAAAATGGGATAAAAATAAAACAGCACTTTTGTCGTAATTACAATAATATATGATATATTATTGTAATTATGACAAAAGTGCTGCGTATTAGGAAAAATTTTAAAATACCTAATAATATTTTATTTCACCTGGGAATTAAGTATATCGTGACATGAATTAGGTTGAGTACCTATGATTATTTCAATAAAAAACATACATATTTTTTACTTATTTTGTAGGTTCAAAAAATTGGTATAGATGTATAATTATTTTTGTAATGTTGTTTAGAATCAGAAGATGAAGACGACACGTTGGTGACGGCCGGACTGTCGAGTCCTCTCGGCGCTCTCAGTCCGTGGGGCAGCAGTCCAGACTTGACCAGACGAACGCCTATAGGCAGTCTAGATGGTAAGTTCAACTACTTGTATGGTTATGGTTACCTAGTATCATTTTATAAAGTTTCCTTTTTTTGTTTTTTAATGCAGACATTCCCCACACTAGGATTTTCTCGTGTCGTGGGTGCGTTTACAAACATACAATTTCACATACACGCCACACCTAGACCAGGAACAACAATTGGTGGATCACACAGAGTCACAAAGAGTTGTTCCATGCGGGAATCGTACCGTACGAAACGTTGCGCGGCAGCCTGTTGCCCAGAGACCGTGCCAACTGTGCAGTAAATAAGTTAGTCATGAAAAGATCCTTATTAAAAAAATAATGTTAGAAGTGGAAGATCGCACCAATCTCTGCTTGCCTACTTATAAATTGTGACAAGTCTGAAAGAGTAATTTAAAAATATATATATTTTGTTTGGCCAATTCTATCTACTAAAACTATTTTTTACCTATATTGATGAAAAAAAAAACTAGAATATTTCCCTGTGTCGTTAGTGCGTTTACAAACATAAAATTTCACATACAAATCACACCCAGAAACGGAACAACAATATCGGAAAACATTTTGCTGTGCGCTTACAGTAACCGCGACACTGCATGGACACCTATTTGCTCAGTCACCGCGACAGCGCAGTCAATATTCTATTCTCCCAAAACTTATCAAGGTCAAACATGTACCCAACCTCTAGGTGACAAGACTCCAACAAACGAGGAACAGGAGGAGCGCTACTTGCGTCGTCTATCAGGGTCGTCTGGGTCCCCGGTGTCGCTGCACACGGCCGTGAGCGCGGCCTCGTCCCGCGGCACTCTGGTCTCACAGGGCGGACATGTCTACAGGAACGCGAGGCCTTACCGCAAAAATACACATCCGAGGTAAGTTTTTTTACGATTTAGTGAAGATTTCGATATAGTTTTAGACGATTTACATGATTTACAGGTGAAGATTAAGAGGATGCAATTGGAAACTCGCTGTACTTTGTCTGTTTATATAGATGTTGAAGGTTTTTTATGTGCGACTAGGAAGCAGCGTAATGAATTTTCATACCTAAAAATATTTATACTTAGTAAAAGATAGCTTGATCTCTGGGACAGCTGTCAGTAAAATCGCGCCTATGAAGTTCTGAATTTAACAGTACGGAGAAACGTACCTGTCAATGTCATACTTTATGGGCATGCTGACCTAATTAGTGATGAGTGATGAATCATCGTGACCACAAACTATAAACTATCGATATTTTTTCTTAATTAAAAATTAATTTATCATTTCATTTTATTGTATATTTTAAAATAATATCATTATTTACAATAGTGAGTAAATAAAATTTAAATAGTAACCTACTCATGTAAAATTCTTTCGACAACTTTGGGTTTCGGGACATTCTGAAAGTGATTCGGATATAGATTTGGGGTGTACTCCTTTGGAATAAATTTATCTTAGATTAAAATATTCGTTTCATTTCAGTACCCAAATTATATTTCAATTAAACATATAATTTTAGCATCGATAAGTAAGAAACGTCGAAAATTACTATCGATATTTTTTGTACCATGACAACCCTAGTAATGTCAGTTTGACGCATGTTGCAGAGATCAAGCTATATTTTATAAGGTATAGGATAAGAATCGACTTTATACCTCTTCTAATTAGGTTCACTTTACAGTCAGTGTCATATATATTTACATATTATTATTGTAAAATTAATTGTAGCTTCTTCTCGCCCTACAATGTTTTTGCTTTAACAACCGCAATTTCCAACTTAAGCATGTTTGAAAAATAAAAAAAATTATTTGCGTAAACAAACTTTGGATAATTCCTTAGGCAATGTTTGAAGAAATCCGTCGCTATGCTAACAATTGACGTAAGCTTTAAGAAGTTGTAATATAAAATTTTTCGTTGGCAATAATTTTTCTGGTTAGTGAAAATGTCATAAGTCATAACAAATTGTCCTTTTTAGTCTACAGCTTCGTTCACTCAGGCCACCAGGCTTTCTAATCGTGGTTTTTAAAGACTATTATTATTGGGATTTCTCTTTTTGAGATTGGGAAAAAATTTCACTAAATTCTACAATATAAAATAAAAAAAACTGTATTTATAAGCTATATAACTAAATATTTATTGATACCAATAACATTATAAAATTTTAAATCGCTTTTTAATTAAAAATAATCACATCTGAACTGGTTTAGGTAAACAAAACCCTTGTTATAGTTAATTAAAAGGTAAAAAACAAACAATACACCAAACTTAACAATATAAATTTCATTATAAAATAAGAGAAAGGCTTCTATCCATTACTTTTTCTTTTGAATATTTCTAGAATGTCTGTGGCAGGTCAATTTAAATTGTAACATGGCGGCGTCGATCCGAATGGCGGGAACCGACGCCCGACACCGGACGTTTCATTATCGAACTACGAAGTGCTATTGGTAAAAGCCAATGGAGAAACCTTGACGCGAACACTTTGAAATGTAGTTTTTTGGAATCGAATTTGGACATTGCCAGTTTTGAAATTTGAAATTAGAAAATGCTCCTCGCTGGTGTGTGCAATAAAACATCTGAACTTTTTTATCAAATTGATTTTGATCTATTAGTAAGGAACCTAAAAATGTTGATAGTCCCAAACATGGTTAAACAAAAGCGTTCATCGAAAATATTTCAGTAAACCAGTCAATGCTTAAAAAGAAAATTACAATATACCTCTTTCATTCTTTCGTGTTTTGCAAGAAAGAAATTATGAAAAAAAAAAGATATTTTTTTCTGAGCATTAGTAGCGTGCTATCCTTACTTTATTAAGTTTTTTTTTATGAGAAGATTATGAGCGTGTTTCGTTATAAAACTGACTGAACAGTACATCGGTAACTACGGTCGATGAAGGACGGCCGAAACGTTGGGAAATAAACGGTTATTCTTTAAGTATACCTATTAAGTGTTTCGTGTGCGATTATCACTTTTTAGTGTTTAAAGATATAGTGTGCACATTAAAATCGTGTTACATGAATTTCTTACATGTACGTATTTTTTTATGTTTATATTGTAGTAGTCATAATGTTATTGAACAATAGGAACCACCGAATTTCTTGCTCGTTTTTCTCCATCGAAATCCACACTTCGGAACGACCAAATAGCTTCTGTAAGAGGACTGGCCAACAGATTGACACTACTAAGCTTTGAGCTTCGTTTGACGTTTAGAAGTGTCTGATTTAAATATATGATTTAGACTATCGCAATTATGGCAATATTTACAACTTTACCACTGCGATAAGCTGTAACCAGAGTGCCTAAATTGCATTACGTTAATGCCATAGACACATGTATGACGTTTCAATCGCGTTAACGCAAAGCAAATTAGCACTAGACACTCTGCGAGACGCACGACAACTTCGTGCTTTAAAAGTTGAAAGTAATCTCTTTGACCGTATTAGTTGTATAAAATACTCATTATAGCAGACAAAAAAAGAAGGTAATTAATTATAGTAAAATGTATCTTATGTATGTATGTGTTTTTTGTACCTATTTAGTAAAAACTGATAAACTTATCCACGTATCCCACATCTCGGATGCCCTGGAGAGAACCTAAGTTGAGGGACATTATTATGTAGGTGGTTTATATTCAGAATAGATGGACAATCCCTTCCACCCACTCGGGAGTGACTTCAACACTATCCAAACCTCAATAAAAGGTGTTTACCCGACCTAATTGTAAAAAGCCGTCCGATATCAGTCTGTGGGTTGGCCAGTTAAAAAGCTTCAATCAATAAAGTTTTATCTACCCGTTCTGTTGAAAAATGTTACGCGTCATTTTATACCCCTTACCGTAGACATGTTTTCTTTCTTTTTTGTGTATATTTTAAGACCATGTCTTATAGCGCAGAAAGGAGAGACATAAATAATATACTATTTAGAAGACCTCTTTTAGGTTTTTGGTGAAAAAAATAGGGACTATAGATTTCTTAATTCACTACCAGCACCTTGAAGGGGCATCCGTCCCCGGTCCTTTGGGTTTCAGACTGCTCCTCCAAGTCCTCATGATGCAACGACTGTTACGGCAATCCCATTTGCAATGACTGTGTGACGCTCTGATTTTTTTTTATTATTTTATTTTTCTTATGTTTATTTTTTTTTTTTGTTTCAGTTCTCAGTGGTCTATTTAGAGTATTGTTACTGGTCAGTATGGAACAAGTAAATGAATAATATTAGCCTTAGCTAACAAGTTAGTTTACACATCTAGCACAAATATGGACTAACCGCACAAAATGCAATTATTGCACTTTCATCTTTAGACTAAGACGAATGTCCTGAGTGCGAATAAAGAAGTATTTAATATTTAGTTTTGTGATATTGTGTATTATGTTTGGAATAGAATGCGGTGTTCTTAAAAAACATCCGTCGTTCATTCGTAACGTAATGTTTGTGTTTCGCCGGCAATGATACGGCCTGCTACTGTAGGGCACGAAGGCTCCGTCTCCGACGATCAGACGGCACGATTCATTGTATCCTAGGATAGTCGGGCACTCTCGATCGCCCCACCACCCCCACATTAACATGACTAACATCCTAACAGCGATGATAACAAACAATCCATCGCAACTTAGGGACTTGGGAGCTACCATGACAAATACAGACATGCAGAAATTTAGACACAATACGCTTCAACTCTTCTCTCTAAAGGTTGACCTACTTGAGAAAAATCATAAGAAGTACAATGGAATGTGCCGTCTGATCGGTGCTTGATGCCTGAGCAGGTCGTGGCAGACAAATGGCAGTTCCATGTATAATAATGACTATCAAACGCTGTTTTGTATCAGTACCGAACTCTACTCAGTTGGAAAAAGCTAGGAAAGATTTTATATATTTTAACGAACCAATGCAATTTTTATCCTAAATGCTTTTCATTTTTGTTGTATTATTATTCTCGCAACTGTATTTTATTGCACCATTTAAAGAAGTACATTAAATTATTTCTTTACTTATATTTTTATTACAAGCAAATAAATGTTAACAAGTTTTCGCTTCGTCTTCAAAATTATGTGCCGAAAAGTACAATTTTATTATTAATTTGCCAAATGTTTATGCCATATTTTGTTGTTTATCAATTCAGGGCTGATTTTTCAATATTCAGATAAATGTTATCTGAGAATTAAAATTGTTGCTGTCACTGTCTTATACGAACATTCTGACGCGACAGCATCATAATTATTCTCCAGGTAACTTTTTCTAAACATTAAAAAATCAGCCCTTAGTCTTTTAATTTTATATAATATTTTTAGGATTAATATACAATGCAAACAAATGTAGAATCTTTAATGTATTATAATTTTTAATGTATAATTATTTTATTGTTTCATATTATGTATTTGAATTAAAACGGTACCTGACGTTATTGGTGTAAAGTGCAAATTGTGATAGATTTAGTTTTTATATTATTTTATAAGCTCAATATTTGACAATTGACATGGATTTAATATTAAATTTATATTTTATTATTGTTTTGTTTCTTTCTTCTTTTTTTGTTTTCCTTTATTATTCAGATGCTATATAGTTTAGTTAAATGTTATATGGTAACTAAAAATATGCTAGTTGATATGAAAATTATTTGAACCTACGGCCTCTGGAGACCCGTAAGTAATTCAATTCGTATGACACCAATAAGTACATTAACCCACGCGCCATTGAGCATTTGAGAAGGGATAACAAAATGTTTACTGACGTGCTGTGAATATAGACAATTTTGTATTTAATGCAGACAATTAAACATTCAATATACTCGTAGGTATCTTAAAATTTTTGTAATAAAACCTTCATGGAGATTTTAACATTGAAGGTTGTTTATAAACTTCTTGAAAATAACGATTTACTCACTTGAATAAACTAAAAAAAACTCTAATAGCTTCAAGTTACCACAAGACTCCTTTAATTTCATGAGAACATTACTTCATTTATTCACGCGAGTTTGTCGTTATTTTTAATAAATTTAATATGTCTCACGATGATAGATACTATTCAAAAATTTAAGATTGTTTTAGCCTGTTAAAAAAGAAAAAAAGACTACATCATTGGTCATTCAAGTTTTAGCAGATAATGTGTCAACAATGGATAACAGGACCTTAAGCTGCAGTAGCGACATCTGTTGAGTGCGGATTTAGTTTCCATTCATCATTATGGTCAGCGTAAAATGAGTAAGAGAGCACTGCTTTACCACTTCTCGGAAATTAATAACTACGTTTGCTTATGACGGATTGGCCATATTATCATCAAAATTAGGTATAATTAATACGTTGCTATAAGTTCAGATTTCCTCACAATGTCGGCTGGTAGAAAGTTCTTACACATAACTTGGAAATGAGTACAATAAAATAATGTCAATCATTGGTACTTGCCAGGTTTCAAACCCTGAGGATGAGGGGAAGGATAATGAGGATAATTTATGCATGAAAATCGGGCACGTTAACCTCCATGGTTGGACCCAAGATATTTTTTTAATGAAATCATAAATATAAATCTTTTAAAATCATACATTAAAATTCACACACAGTAAAAAAAAATACTCATAAAAATCCTGAATGTTCACTCACTGTCCCTGAAGTATTCGTACAAAGGTTGAATAAAACATAAGTCGAGTTAATCCCTCAGTAAAGTCTTGACCTGGCCTCTGAGACTCCTCATGACCTAGAAAGCTGTAGGCTTGTACAAGATATATAGGCAACTGATTAGATGTTGCTAGTTAGGGTTTAGTTTGGCTAAGTAAGATCGCATTTATTTGTTTTGTGACATCATTGTCCCTAGCGATATTGGGCTTAGTGTCATTGCTCTCTCCGTGTTTTTTTCTATGTAATATAAGTCGGTAAATGAGCAGACGGATTACCCGATGGTAAGCAGTCAGCGCCGCGCCGTCCATGGATACCCGCAACAACGCAGGAGCTGCGAGTGCTTTGCCGACCTTTTGCGGATTAGGGATTTGGAGGTTTGGGGACTGGGGGATGGGAACTATTGGGCCTATGGTAACCCCACCGACACGGCGAAACGCAACGCTGTGGTTATTTCACATCAGTTTTCTGTGAGGCCGTGGTATCACTCTGGTCGAGCCGAAGCATGGCTATATTACTTTTGATGAAAGACATTTTAGAAATACTCGACACCTTTATATTGTCAGTGATTACTTTAAAGTAACTACGTCCACACTACATATTAGACTAGCTACGCTCGCGCGGTTTCACCCGCTGCTCGGGTCCATTTAATCGTAGCGTGATGTTTTAGCCCAGGAACATTGGAGATATCTAACCGTGAAGAATTTTGAAAATCCGACCAGCGGTTCTAAAGATTACCCCCACATACAAACTTACTTTACCTCTATAATATTAGTATAGATAGCGCGAAAAAATAACGCGTAACCAGTCTTAGTCTTAGGTATGTAACTCTCCAAATCTATGTCGTAATATTTTCCTGCCAACCATGTTTTTTAGGACAAGAGTTTGTATGTTATTTTTATTTCGTCCTTCATACCCACGAGTGAAAAATGTTGGTGATTTATCATTTCATGCTTACGTTCCATCTTTGCATCTACTTTGAGCAAATGTGGCCGTTTACTGTACATTTACCACTGATATGCAATAAAACATAAAGAGAGGGTAGTTTGTTACAAAATTTAAGGATAAATTTTACATCTACCCCCAAAATATTTTCTACAATAGGTTCTATGAAAAAGTCGGAATTCCAAATAGCATTTTCTCGGTTATATTCTGTAGATCTCTGCAAACGTTATAACAGCAAAGTATTACAACTCAACATTTCATTTTCAACGAATCCTTTGAAAATATATTTGGCTGCTACAAAGTAAATTAAAAAAAACCTTCTAATTATGTCGCTTTAACCGACAGCAGTGGTCGCTATTGCGATGTTTTTATTTAGTTGTCAACATAAAGCAAAGGAAATATGCAAACATTTGGGTAGCCACAACAGTGTCCGAGGTCCCACGCTGTGCGCCAACATACCTTTGCGGCGGCGCGGGACGTGAGGCAGGGGGTGGAGGGGGGCGCCACCCAGTCTCGCCCGGCTCTTGATTGCCAGTTGCGCCGCAGCGTTTGCCGCGCGCACACGTTTGCTTAGCGCTCGCGTTCCGTGCACACTTCGCCCACACATGACCTAGACACCGGTTTGATCGTGAGTGGTCTGCGATTACATAATTTGTTAACTATATTGATGTTATATGCCTAAGTTTAAATGTCTATAACATATTTTGTTATGATACTAGCTATTGAGATGTACTGCGCGCTATCCTGCATCGATTGGCTGTCGTACCGGATTGCATTCAATGTCAGATCAAAGTCTATAGACTTATCTCGGCAATGTAGCTTTCAGTAAAAGCAACAGAGCTTCAACTTTTTAAATTTTATAATCATTTTGAAAGAATAACTAGGTTTTAGATACAAAAGTATTATTTATAATTTCATTTAGTTTTAGTACTTCGTGTAGATCTAGCTTTTAAGAGATGAGATATCAAACTGATATATTTTAGTATCTGGTATTAAAAAGATTTTTATCTCGCTCGGTAGTAAAGCTCCAGTTTGAATACTAGAAGTTAACTCCAGGTAGTTAAATCGCACCGTCTCGCCCCTGGTGAGTCATAGAGGGCAGATGGCATTTACCCTTCATGGCTATGGGAGTTATAAAGGTTCATCCAATACCCCTGGGTGATTCCAATTTTAGTACTTGTTTTAAGTCTCGCTTTTTATCCATTTCATACAATTATAGTAGCGATACGTAAAAATCACAGTTATCGGAAGTAGGTAGTCGGCTTCAAACTTAGCTCTAGCTTACTCTAGGAGAAAAAATCCAAAAAACCTTAAGTAACTAAAAAATAAAACACTCGCAAGTAAAGGAAAGTTTTTTTAATAACCTAGCTTCGCATTGTTTAGTATCGTGAGCTGGAATTTTACCCCAGTGCCTCAATAACGGAGGTTCGGCAAACATTCTTGGTAAAGCTATTCATTCTGCTGGATACTGCACTCGTGGGACTTTACGAACTGACTACATACACGTGTCTAAGCCACTAAACGTATGAATATTTCGGTTGACTAGGACTAAAGTTTTGTTAGACATGTATAAAAAAATATATTTTAAACACAGATTTTTTCGATCTTGCAAATTTAAGTTAGGGTGTATTTTTTGTTTACGGTTTAGTATGGTGGCGTAATTGGTACTATGCGTATAATGACTAGCTAAACATATGATACTCACACATAAGATATTCATATTTAGATGTCGGAATTCTCTTTGAGTTAGCTACAGTGGCTCGGGGTTTTATATGCTGTCCTGGCCTGGTCTTAACTATAAAGGTCACCACAAGGATTAGTTCGGTGATGTAGTCAAAAGCCGGCCATGACATGAATTTTAGTAGCTTCAAGTAATCAAAAATACTTTAAAGGAATAAAAGACACAATGTAAATAACAACCACATTTAGAATATTTGACTCGGGTCAATCGACAGAATTGAGTATAGGACCATAGGACCTAAACATCTAAGCCTTAGAGCCTCCTATTGATTCCAAATTTTGGTGTGACATAACATTACCTACTTTATATACATGATTTAAACATAAGTATAACAAACTTGTATATACAGAATAAATGAAGATTTATTTCCTTTAGTTTTAGGAAAGATCAGAGTATCAGCTTGTATTTAATAAAAAAATTGAGCTGCAATATTTCTTAATTTATGGGAGATAGAAACTGGAGCTAGAGAAGCTAGACCGTGATAGAAACCTTACAAAAATACGAAAAAAGCCTTTTCATTTCCTCTGTTGATTTTAATAATTTATTGGATTGTCAAATTGAGTGACAGCGC